AAACGTACATTATATTGATAGTATTATACACATACATAATCCAGGCGGCTGACGTTCCCCGAGACGTCATCATGCAACAAGTGTAATTTCAGGAAAAACACAGAGTACATCAGAGTACTAAAAATTAGCATTTTTTCATTTACAGCTTCTGGAACGACGTGTGTATCATTGCGGACAATTTTTGTTTTTGTCTCTTGCGTGTTGATCAAGTCATTTGCTGATGTACCTTCATCATGTAACGTGTAACAGGTTTGGGGTGGGGTGGGTTTGGGGGTCTAATAACTTCTTGATCTTGTTTCTACCATGCATTGGATGCTACATGATGCTATGCTCTTAATTTGTTGATGTTATTTTTGACACACGCTGGATGCTACGCTGCTACGCTCAGGGCTTGCTGATCTTTGTTCGAGCACGCACTGGATGCAAAGTTGCCGCAGCCCCACAAAAGTGTGTAAACAAGTAGTGGGAAGCACGAAGAGAACAAACAGCCTGACTCACAAGAGTTGCTACATAAGGACATCTGCGAAAAAATGAGAATTACCAATGAAGAATGACATTTTCAGTCAAAATCCCCATTTTCGGATTTTCGCGGTATTTCCACCGCATGTTTCAAATACCAGCCCAGTTGCCCGATCGTGGCAACTGATCAACATTCAGGCGACGCAGGGGGAACCTCCCCGAATGGGTGTATTAGTACAAATTTAATGTGCTAGAAACAATAGTAACCCCCCATTTTTATCCATTTTTGATGGTTCTGAAAACCACCCAAAATGGTGAATTTGGGAATGGATAAGAGGACATTGTTGTTTCACCCTCTGGTTATGTCAAAATAGCTATTGAAGCCATGGCCCAGTCGAAATAGTGGCATTTTCCCATGAATAGCATGGTGGATCTTTCCAGTTCGCTATGTAACAAATTACCAGAGGGTAACTTCCATTAAATCCCATTAAATCCCATATTAAACCACCATAAATCCTCATTAAATCCCATTAAACCACCATAAATCCTCATTAAATCCCATTAAATCCCATTAAATCCGCATTAAATCCCATTAAACCATCATTAAATCCTCATTAAATCCCATTAAATCCCATTAAATCCGCATTAAATCCGCATACAATGGAGCGAGTGGTGCCAGGAAACGGATGCCCTGTTGACTTGCCAATTGCTGATTCTTGGCCACATCCACCTGCGAGCGGAAAAAAAAAAAAAAGGTCTCAGAAAAAAAACACCAAAATTTGTGAACATACCCATATGCTCCATGTATGGAATATTTACCAACATTTACCCCATAAATCACCCAAATGTAGGTAAATATACTATACATGGAGCATATGGGATAGGGGGGTTGCAAATGTTGCAATGTCAATAATTGCACTATATTTACTATATATATATATAATATATATATATATGTAATGTTCGGGCCCCCAACAAAAGTGGAAGTGGCTTTTTATTCGTCCCGGACATTAAACATGTAACATGACAAACATAGACAAAATGACGTAGTCTAAACAAGCGGTGATGGTCTGATCAAACACGATTTTGCCGAAATGGACTATAATCCAACTGCTCCTGCCCGCGCCAGCAACATCAGTGGAGTATGACACAGGAATGGTCAGTTTGACTGTGTTTTTTTCTGGCTAGGGGAATTCCGAAAAATAGGCATTCCTGCAAAGTGTCAATGTATCCCCGAGTCGCCTTGCGAAAATAAGCCTTGCCCGCGAAGTCTTTGGAGATCTTGCGGAAAACCGGCGCAATCATGTGGCACGGACCGCAGGACATACCTGATATCTCCAGGTGTCTCCAGGGGTCACTCCAGGGGCCACTTGTGATTGCAAAACGCTGAGCGTTTTTTGCAGCTGTCTCAGTGGGCGTTATCAAGCTGAGCTGCTATAAAAGTCCAAGATGATGGGTCTTCCATTGGCTTCCTGCATGAGATCCTTGAATTCCTGACAAGCTGGGACATGACAAGGCAAAGCATCGTGCAAGCGGGACTGCAAAGGCCTCCAACTAGAACATTCAGATGGAACTAGGACAAGGACAAGCGCATGCATGTGACATGGGCTTAAAAAATGTGCAGCCGAACTGAATCTATTCCCATCTGGGCGCAAATGCAAAAATCCAGTGGTCAGTTCAAAGAATGCCGTAAATATCACTAGAGTCTTTTCAGTTTGGATTTTTGCTGCTCTGTTTTCTCCCTCACCGCTTAGAGAGGTGAGTCAACACCCATTCACTTCACAACATTTGTCCGCGCAACATCCGAAATCAATGCCCTCCTTGCAGCCCCTGCCAGCCCCTGCCAGCCGGTGCCTTGGCTGTGAAAAGCTCTTTCACAGCAGCTGTTCGCCTTGGAAGCGATCAACATCCCAGGAAGCACCAACAACACACCCATGGTTCATTCACAGATGCGACGGATTTGTCCCAAGGAAAACCGCCAAATATAAGACGATGAAGATAAACATGAAGATGAACATAAAGATGGTGATGAATAAAAAGAAGATGAAACAGAAGATGAAGAAGAAAATGAATAAGAATAATCTTAATAATAATAAAAATAAATAAGAAGAAAAAAAACATAAGAAACAGAAGAAAAACATAATATGAATATGAACACGAAGATGAAGATGGTGATGAATATGGAGAAGATGAAGAAAAACATGAAGATGAAGATAACACATTAAGATAAAGATGAAGATGAAGAATATGAAGATAACAATGAATAATATGAAGATGAACATGACACAGAAGAAGAAAAAAACTAATTATAATAAAAAGAAAAAATAACAAACAAGAAAAAGAAGAAAACAAATAAGAAGAAACATCATATGAACATGAAGATGAAAACGGTGATGAAGATGAAGATGAAGAAAATGAATAGTAATACGAATAATAAAATTAAGAAGACGATGAAACATAAGAAGAAGAAGAACAACAAAAAATAAACATAATAATAAGAATAATAAGAATAATAAATTGAATATGAATATGAACATGACTATGAACATGAAGATGAAGATGAAGGTGGTGATGAAGATGAACATGAAGATGAAGGTGAAAATGGTGATAACGATGGTGATGAAGATGCTGATGAAGATGAAACAAATGACGAAGGAGAAGAACACGAAAACACAACGAATAATTAATAGGATGATGATGATGACGACGATGGTGGTGATGATGACGACATGAAGATGATGACATATGACATGATGGCAGCGCCCTTGGTGGGTGCTTTCGGTTGTTGCATCCACCTGAGACTCCATGCACCAACAGCGCCAAAAGCGTCCAAAGTCTCATCACCTTGGGGGCTGAAACATGGCAAAAAATAGCGGATATATATATATATATATTATATAATTACATATACATAAGTCATAATGTTCATTATATGTCCATATATTTCCATAATCAAATATTTCCTACATCTTCCTATCCTACAGATTCCCATAGAATATCATAGAATCCCAGCATATCCCAGCGATCCCAGTGCCTCAGACAAGGCAGGCCGTGGCCTTGGCAAAGGGCAAGAGTCACAGGAAGAACACATTTCCGAAGACTTACGTGCTGATTACGTGCTGATTACATGCTGATTACATGCACTGCTGATTTTTCTTGACAAAACGAGGGATTGTGATTGTAAGACATCGTGTATTGGACCGACCGTTTTTGAACAAAGTTGCTTGCTTAGCGGAATGCAAGAAACGCTGATATTCACACCTTGCGTACAAAAACAACTTGAGGAACAACTGAAGAAAATCAGGATGGAATAGCCGGGGATGACGTAGTGACGTAGCACCGGTCATCTTGATGATTCCTGGTACAACCGTCCCTCGGGTCACTCCGGTCAGTCCGGGCCGCCGAATGACCGGATGACACTGGGCACTTAAGAGCAGCGGTTCCCCGCCCAGCAGCTGAGGAACCTTGGTTGACAGTGACATCTTGGAGGGATCAAACATGACATGGACGCAATAAGGGGCAAAGGAATAGCAATTTCGGAGCAATTCCTCTTGATAACGTGCTAAAACATGCTAAAACCATGAGATGACTTATGCTGGAAAGAGGCATCATCTGATACTTACTTGTCAGAGTGCAATCAGTTTTGCCAACAAGGACGACATCACAACAGAATCAAAACCAGTTTGTCCCACAAGAAATCCACTTATTCTTCTGAAACTCAAATTTCTTGGGGCAAAGTTTCAAGCTGAGCAACGAAGCTGGAAAACTGTCTGGGCGAACCCTTGAGCCTAAAGTAAATAAAGGGAAGCAAGCAAAGGGTAGTTTCCGCATTGAATCATTCCAAGTGAATTGCAAGACACAAACCTTTGATTCCAGCCGAATATCCCACTGATCTATTGATGTTGATGGTGCTTTGCTGATAGAAAGAATCATGTCTAGACAATAAAAGATGGCCTTGCCCATGGCCTTGCTCATTGACTTATGAGTGTTTTAGGAAACTTAAGGTTTAGGACTTGTCTTGCAACATGGAGAACCAGATGGGCAATAGGTTTCAGAACGGGACCTTGACACGTGTAGCAAGGACAAGTTTTGAGGTTTGTGGCCTCAGGCCACCTCATTTCTGATGATCATGATGATCATGATGATCATGACGAGCATAACAACCACCATTGCCACACCCAATTCATCCCAATTCCATATTCATATCAATTCCTATCTTGGTCCTTCATAGCGTTGGCAATCAAGATGAGCATCAAAATCCATGATCTCTGGCTCCCTGGGTGCCACTCCGCGCCACCGCTTCATTTTGGCCATTGATTATCGTCTTGGCTCTGGAGCCAATGAGGTTTCTTGTGGGTCACCCCACGGGGTGACCAGCTGACTTCCAAAGCGAGCGCAGATGAAGCACTCTGTACGTGAGTCATACTTTCTTGGAAGATATTGCCATTTGCAATGGCAGTGTAACGAATGGTAGTGTAACGAATGTATATTTCAACAAATATACTTTATTGACAGTTGCCATTCTAGATATTTCTTTAAATGACTTGTCCCTTGACACACTGCTTTGGAGGCAACTGGCTATGCAACGTGGGCGAGGGGACAGGAAACACTGTACAATCCCCTCATGACATCACCTGAAAGTTGTCGCATGTGGGTGACATGCAATACTGTCCGGGAGCTGGTTAATCCCATCTATCATCATAGAAACCTGTTGTTAAAGGGGTAAACCTTCAAATCCCTCGATTTTCATCAAGCAACCAATGGGAATTTAAGGGACATCTATGGTGACATCAATAAATCCCCCTGCTGCTGATGTGATCGCCAGTTTCTTTTCGAGCACCAAGGTTTCCACACAGTAATCCCAAAAGTCTGCCAAATATGTACATATATATATATATATATATATATTATGTAATTATATGTATATATAGATATATATACATATGTAATTATATGTATATATACATACATACACATTTGTCTACTGGAAATGAATTTCAAGACTCAAACATCAGCAAAACAGTTGTACATTGATTATTGACCTGGGCAGTGACCAACTACAAGCTCGAGGATCCCACAACTATGCGAGAACTCCAACCTCAAGGCTTGAACAAGGTCAAAAGGATCCAACAAGGACTAACTCTTACATCTATTACCACCACGTGGCATGAGGAAGCGGCCCTGGAAAGATACCATGCAAACAGCATATTCAAAGTATTTTGGGTGCGTTTTTGCGTTTTGCACCACAGCATGCACACAGCTCTGAACACCTTAAATGCAATTGGAGGAATCACCAGTATGCTTGACTCCTAGAAAAAAATATAGAACAATGGCATCATTCCAGATCTATATATCTTGTTAATGCCATTTTGTTAATGCCTATTTTACATAGAAAAATATAGGATCATTCCAGGCTTTAACCAAAAAAAGCCCAACCGTCATTTGGTTTTCGCAAATGTCTGGCGTCCCCAGCTGGCTGAAAACCCATGGTCTCAAGGAGCTCCTGGCGAAACAGTGGATTTTCCCATGAAAGATGCATGGTGATTTTCAGTTACGTAAACGTTTACCAGAGGGTATGATGTCGTATGTGATGTATGGCAAACAAATAACTATTTAATATATATATATATACACGTATATGTACACTTCTGAAACTTCTGTTTGATTTCCCATGCTGCAGTTGACAGAAGAAAAAACGATTTTCTGTCATTCAGAAACACGTGTCGTTTCCAGATTTTTTGGGTCCACAAAGGGGTCCAAAAATCCCCGTCACGGTCACCGGTCACCGGTGAACAACAGTCCGGAGTCGTTCCGCAATGGATTCCGTCGGATCGCCTTGTTGTGGACTGCCTCAAAGGTCACCGTTACATCCTGACCTCCCACATCAAAGATGGCCTGCGAGCCACCTGCCGCAATGGATCACAGTTGCAACCCGGTTTTGAAATGGTCCCCTGAAAGGTTGTGAAAACACGTGCGGCACATCGCTATCAATTTTTTTTAGCTGCCACTGGAAGGGCCATAGAAACGTGAAGCTAAAGTGTACTCGCTGTGAAGCAAGTGAGGGAATAGACGTTAAGAACCATGCCTGGGTGCTCCCACACATACCTGCATAGGAGAGTGGTGTCAACAAAATTACAAGCGTATCAAGCATGTTGGCTGAATGTATTCAAACATCTTCCAAAAAGTCATGAAAAGAACAACGTTCGCCATGCGTTTGGATGAAAGTCCACTTCGAGACCTACAGTGTGCAAAGATCCATCATAGGGAAACCATCCGGCAACTTTCTGTATCAATCTTCTCCTTTTCCGCAACTCATGAATGCCGCCCAAAAACGCTTTTCGGCCTTCCGCTCAGCTATCACGGTCTCTCAAAGAATTAATACTCAATATATTTCAAAAAAAATATATAATGTGATCCATTTAAGTTTCCTCAAGAATTCATATGATATCATATATGATATCATATATGACATCCATAAGATTTGCTTCCCCATGGGATGTGACTGGGAGTCCAGCTCCGTCATATCGTAGACTTGCCCGTACAAGGCCACCCACAAATCCCCGTCTGCGCGGTGTTTCAACAGTTCCTGCGAGCATTTTTTGGAGCCCAGGACTGCGTTAGCTGCACGGAAAAAGCATGTGCTATCCGAATAAAAACTCCATGTATACCGTAGACCTCGTCAATCCTAATAAAACATTCAATAAGAACAGACATCGAGAGTAGTAGCCTTTAGCTCAGCAGTTTTGAGATGTTTCGAGATGTTTTGATATCCGGTTGCGGTTATACCAAGCAACAAAAAAAGTTCACAAATCGTCTGCAGCTGGGGTTTGACATGGTTTGACTCATTGCCAAAGGAAAATCCAGGTTTTGGCCACAGTTTTGATCAACTCCAAACAGCCGCAGTGATCAAAGATGTTGAAAAACACAGCTGCAGTGATCAAACATCTGAATCATCACATGGGGATGGGTCAAAACCTTGTACCCCTGGTGAACATCAAAATAGCTGGTAAATGGATGTTCATCTCACTAAACATGGTATTAATAGGTATTGATCCATACCCACATCTGAATCATCCTGAATCATCTTGCCAAGCGTGGAAGCAGTCCCCGCGGTTTTTTAACCAGGAACATCATGTTCCAGACCAGGTAACCGCCTAAGGAACCCATAAATTCTTGGGCCCTTGGGGTTGTTGAAATGACAAGATCCACCATTTGAACACGCTAAAACCTCAGTGCCTGTCAAATTTCATCGAATTTCTACGTCGCTATTCATTTACTGTGTGCTGACCAACCATCCAACCGTACCCAGCAAGGCTATTTATATCTATTTATCATCATCTTCTCCGACATTGTACCCAAGCTTGCCGGGACGGACATTTTATGACATTTTGATCATATTCAATCCCCAGATGAAAGGAAAAGTGCCTAGGAAGGAAGTCTTGCTGATCGACACCAATTTGATTGATTGAATGACTGAATGCTTGAACGGCTGAATTGGCCACATTGCAGGAATGAATGACCACGTATGAATGACTAGTGACTTCAGGATCGGGTGATTTAGCCCCCTTTGCTTTAAGCTCCCTCTCTTCCATTCTCTCTTTCTCACTCTCTCTCCCTCGCTGCAGCCATTTTTCTGTGAGTTGTAGGCTATCGGCTGACTCGCCGCCCCAGAAGGGTTGTTATTTTTTGCTGTCGTATACTTCGATGTTCTGCAAGGTATGATTCGGTCATGGTACGGTGGGGTGGGCTGGGGCTAATAACGTTCCTTGGCACTACATGATGCTATGCTAGAGATGGGTCGGATGGGGCTTATAACGTTCCTTAGCACTTGCACACCTACATGATGCTACGTTAGAGATGGGTGGGGTGGGGTGGGATGGGACTAATAGCGTTCCTTGGCACTTGCACACCTACATGATGCTACGTTAGAGATGGGGTGGGGTGGGGTGGGAATAATAACGTCCTGTGGCATGCTACCTTAAAAAAATATGATGCTACGCTTGCACATGTTGTTCACGTGCGCGAACATAACTGTGATGTTTCATTCATAAAGAATATGTTGCATTATATTGCTACTCTTGCACATGCTGTTAAGTGTGGGAACACAAGTTTGATGTTACGTTCATAGAATATCGTGCTACGCTTGCACATGTTGTTAACGTGCGCGAGCATAAGTTTGATGTTACGTTGATAGATTATGTTGTTACGCTTGCACATACCAAAAAAGCTTGAACAAATTGAAGCCAATCGCTTTTGCCCAAAAAGACAAATCCCATGGAGGAACCAACGAACATCGTTGGAAGTGGGCGCGAAGCTTCCAGTGGAGGCAAAATACTTCCATCAAAAGTTCCATTTTGGAAGAACTTCCCAAATGCTTGAGGCCGTTTGCGCATGTGATTTCTTGGATCAACCAGGCGTTTCCAAACTTTTTGTCTCGGCGTGGTAAAAAAATAATCGTTTCGCCTGCACGGAATACCGCTTTCTTCATTTTGAATTGGCCCACGCAGTGCAAATGCCTTCCGAAGATGAAACATTAAAAAAAACACTGGTTTTTCAGCATTTCATCTTCAGAATGAAGAAACAAAGATATCGACTGTTGCAGGGCGGCGAGTCAGCCGATTCCCTAGTTATGAATATAATTTATTACAGTAATTGAACAATCTCGTAATCTCGTCTTTGCGCTCTGACCCAAATCGTCTCCCCCGATCTTCCCTGAAATAACTCCACAGCCACATCAAACCTAAGCCAACTGCTGCAGCTTTCCGGGGCGCCGCAAATGCGGCAAAATACAAACCCTCCCTTGACAAGAATCAGAAAACCTGCAAAAAGTATCAACCAGTGTTAATTTTCCATCTTTTTCCCTGAATTTCACCTTTCTGTGAACTAGCTAACTAGCGAGCTCTAGTGACATTGTCCGTCTCCTCCTGGGTGATCTTGCGCAGTTCCTCCGAAGCTGGAGACGAAACGGCCGAAACGGCGCCAGAAGCAGCGCCAGAAGCAGTGCTTCCTGTGCCTTGGGACAGGCGCAGTTCGCAGTGAACATGCAAAATATATGATGTCATAAATCACCTTTTGAACCATATCAATTCTCCGCCATTTGCAATGTTTCGAGCCTTAAAGCTAAAACCAACCCTAAATAATGAATAAATACTTCAATAAAGCGTATAAAAATAATATGTACCCTAATTAAACACTAAACCGACCCTCAACCATAAATACCACCGTAATTCCCAAAAATAAAAAATAACTCCTGAAAAGCACCAAATAAACCCTTTAACCAACCTTAAAGAAACACTAAATCAGCCCTGATTAAATAAACTTTAGAGCAACCCTAACCCCAATCTTAGGCAAACGTCCGGCGTTTGATTTTAGCTCCAACCGACCATCGAAACCCATAAAAAAATGTGACAATGTGGGTTGCTATGGGTAAAACATGGTGACAGCACCTTGAGGACGGCGTGCGTTTACTGACTTTCTGAAGTGAGAAAAATGCAATGTGCACAAAACCTACCCTCTGGTAAACTAACAGTTTGCTATTAAAAATGGCCCAGTCGAAATAGTTGATTTTCCCATGAATAGCATGGTGATTTTCCATAGTTACGTAAACGTTTACGAGAGGGTAGTTTTTGGATCTTTTTGGTAGTTCTGATTGGAAGTTCTGATTGGTTTCAGAGGCTGAAAATCATGGAAGGCTTACCGAGGAAGTTCATTTCAGGCGACCATTTTTTTCTGTCTCGGCTCTGCGTGGGTTAGCTTTTAAGCCTGGAAGTTGGAACAAAGTGTTCTTAAGCCCTAACCCATATGCTCCATGTATGGAATATTTACCAACATTTGCCCTAAAAATCACCCAAATGTATCCAAATGTAGGTAAGGGTAAGCATATGTAAGCATCAAGTATACAGTATATGTGCACATGCAAGTAAACATCCATTGGCGTAGCAGCAAGTACATGTGCAAGGGAATGTTATTATCCCACTTTGTGCAAGTCCTTCAAATTTTGCCGACGTTTAAGTCCTTTGGACTTTCTGCCCTTTTAAGCTTCCTTTAATTTTACGAGTGCAGTCCATTCCAAAGCAGGGAAACACGGACGTTGTTCGGGGGCTTGTGAAACGATGACAATGATAACTTTTTGAAGCGAAGGTGGCCAGAAGGAAACTATTTTGGCTGCAACCGCTGCGGGTGTTCACGTGCTTTGCTTCGAATGCAGTATAGGTGAGCATGATAATGGTTCCGAATCTTGGTTTTGTTAAGCGCCATGCGGGATCTGCAAACAACAATTCTAGCATTGTGACAGGCCATTACAAATCATCATACAAAAACATGTACTGTCAGAATTTGTTTGAATATATGAAATCCTTGTAGGTTTCAATATCAAAACATAGAGGCACCGGCAACCATTCAAACAAAAAATCATTTGTTAACGTACCCTCTGGTAAACATACAAAAAACTATGGGAAATCACCATTTTAAATGGGTAAATCCACTATTTCTATGGCCATTTTCAATAGCAAACTGTTAGTTTACCAGGCCGGGTAACCTAAAAGAGCTGGCCACCGCCAGGATCTGAGATGCCGCGCGGATGGGCAAAGCCATTCCCACGTGGCGACCGAAGACTGTGCCTTAAAACATGGCGACTCACGGCGTCGACGGCTTACAACAGAGCAGCTGGTGCATCCGAAAAACCGCAAAGATCTAACGGATCGAATTATTTCAACGCGGTCGCTAAAAAGTTACGCCTTACCCACAAGACCCTCATGAATCAAGGTCGAGGATGACATATTCCGGCACCATTTGTAACTATGCATGCCAATAGTCTTGCATGTAGTATTGTGTCATTTACCATGAAAAAAATCCATCGCATAGATATTTCTACAATTTTTTGCTGTGGTCCCGAGCTCTGGGTTGACTCAGCGAGCTGGCGCCATATCACACTGTAACATGGGTGGTTACACCCCTTCCCTTTCTCCAGAAAGATTTCTAGCTGACAGTCAGCAAATGTCAGCAAAGCAATGAGGAGCTTCAATCCCTTTCCAAGATATTTCCAAGATCAGTGGGAAATCGAAGCGAATTTCATCGTTTTTTTTCCACCCGTGTGAACACCAAAAGGGGCTGATAAAAACAGCGAAGGATCCGGTGGAATTTCGGGCTGGGTGCAAAAATCAGACGTGCGAAAACAGCGAAGGGATACTCCGGAATTCCATTAATTGCAGCTTGCAGCCAAAAATCAGGTTCCGTTTCTTGATGTTTCGATATGTTTCGTGTCTAGAAACCAAACAAGTCTTCAAAGACCAAGCGCAGGAGTTCGCTATGAGTCATAGGCTTTTTTGACAAGACTTGGCTAAAGGCATCTGGGGGACCACCTGGGACCCCCTTTGGATGCCCAAAAACACGGGGGATATGTCGACAGCCCCCTTCCAAAAAAAGACCTTGCTAGGTCCGGGAGGGCGCCCATTACAAGTGGGGGGAAACAGAACAACTTGACCCATGAAATCATGAAATTTCTGGATTTTTCTGGATTCAGGGGACATGGGCATTTAAACAACAAACAAATGGTAGTTGTGAAACCATCCACAAAAACCGAAAATTCACCAGCAAAAATCTGGACCACTGCTGGAGGATCCTCTGTTTATCCAACAAACAAACCGTGGATATGTGCCAAACACTACTAATATATGCATGTTTTTAGCAGAATTTTCGGGATATGATCATTGAACTTAGCCATGCTTAACCGATAGTATGGGCCGGTGACTTTGACAAATAGACGCTTCACATTTTTGAAAAAGAGGTTGCGCAGCTGAAATTCGAGCATGTCTAACATGTAAGCTCCAAACTGCCTCATTGTCAAGCAGCTATAGGTGTGAAATAACCTTCTTTTTCATGCTTATCTACAGAGCACATCAGAGCACGTGAAAATCATAATGCCATGGTGACCTAAGCATGGAAAAATCATCAATAGGGTCGACCAAGAGGTGACTACATCAACCCCCCCACGTTCTGCCAAGAGGCATTCCAACAACGAGTTGCCAGCCAATCGGTTGTCCCCATGAACACCGCCACTGGCCTCACCCAAATAGTGGACATGGCACAACTCGTGGTAAATCATGATATAAATCGAACATATGTTCAAACAGGGTTTTCCCAAAGCTTTGGGGAATATTTTCCCATGTTTGACATATTTGCAGATTTTAGTCCAACCATCGCCGGTGATCTCGCCTCGCCAATAGCGTAGAGGCCAGGGATGGTTTTCTGGTCTTTGTCCAGCACTTGACCTACCGCTGGTGTTTCATGACAATACAAAGGCAATCCGTCACGGATCTGCTGATATATGTATATAATGTGTATGCGGTGTGTATGTATGTATGTATGTATGTATGTATGTATATGTATATTATGTAACCCCTTCCAAATGTTACTAAATGTACCCCACATACTCAAAACCCAAATACGAAATTTGAAGTTGGCCAATTTGAGTTTTGATTGGTCCCCTTTAGACCCCCTAGCAATAAAAAGACTCAACACTGGGGTGTTTTTTTAAATCAGGTCCGTCCTTTAAAATCAAAAGTTTTAGTTTTGTTTATTAAGGTTTTTAACTTAGTACTGGGAGAACCTTTGAAATCCAATTTTTTTGATTTAATTTAATATTAGGGGAACCTTCGAAATCCAATGTTCAACAATAATCAAATTTGATTTTAAACAAGAGTTTAATTGATTTAAAAAGAGAAAAACATAGTTTTGTTAATATATGAAGTTTATTTCTCCAGACAGTGTGTCCACACGAAGGGGTTCTTACGGTAGGAGTAAAGGCCGGTGCTTGATCAGGGCGCTCACTCTGGGCCCCGTCATTTTTCCTGTGCATTTCCGTCTAGAGTGGCTCTTGGGAAATCTTGGCATGCGTTTCGACTGCGCAGGCTCGCACAAAGTCCGCGCCGCGGTTTTGGGGCGTGGCATTTTTCCTGTCAATTTCCGTAAAAAGTGGCTCTTGTGAAATGGAAATGTTGAAATGCATTTCGACTGGGCAGGCTCGCGCAAAGTGTGGTCCTAGGTCTTGGGATCGGTCCTCCCCCACATCATCAGAATCATGTTGCTCCTCCTCAACATCATCATTCTTGACATCATCTTCACCCCCTGCACATCATCACCCTCAACTTCATCATCCTCCACCTGATGTTCCGCAACATCATCCTCCTCCACCTCATCTTCCGCAACATTATCATCCTTTTCATCATCCTCCTCAACATCGTCATCCTCAACACCATGATCTGCTCTTTCTCAACATCATCATCCTGCACCTTGTCCTCCTCCACTTCATCTTCCGCATCATCATCCTCGTCCTCATCCTCCTCAACATCCTCATCCTCATCCTCATCCTCATCCTCCTCTACATCATCATCCTCCACATCATCCTCCTGCACCTCATCATCCTCAACATCATCATCCTCATCATCATCGCCCGCATCATCACTATCCTCAACATCATCATCCTCCTCAGCATCATCGATCACAAACACAAACACAAACACAAACACATCATCATCATCATCATCATCATCATCATCATCATCATCATCATCATCATCATCATCATCATCATCAACATCAATATCAATATTATCATACATTATACTCCCACCCCCCAACACTGTTTGGGGTCTCTCTTGCCGGGATAATGAGGTTTAATTTAATATTAGTGGGCAGCTTCGCGCCCTAATACTAAATACCCCGTAACACTAAAACTCCTCCGCGTGTTTATTATTAGGAGGGGGGCGGGGTGTAGTACTAGGGGGAAGGGATTATACATGTAATGTTGTATCCTTCTTGGTAGCTAGGTTCGCTATTGTGGCCAAAATTTTCCAAATTATTCTGTATCTCTGCAATGTTTGCCAGGTTTACTACTGTGGCAAGAAGTCTTGGCAAACAATTTGTTCGTCCAAAAAATGTTTGTGTAAAAAAACTAAACATTTTTTCTGCAAGAAATCTGCTTGTCTCCCTGTCCCAAAAGAATCATACCGCTTATTAAACCCTTGTTAAAGAATAGCTTTTCCACACATTTCCAAGGCACTGGGCCATGAGAGGGCCCAGTTCACTTTAGTAGGTTTGTTCCCAGGATTCACACTTCCAGCAATTTTTTCTAGAGCTGATCCTGTAGGCAAGAGAAGAAAGAAAAACCTTTTACAAAAGCAACCTTTCTTTATTTTTCTCTTTCTCTTTTCCTTTATCTTTCTATTTTCCTGTCTCTTGATCTTTCTCTTTATCTTCCTCTTCTTCTCCCCCTTCCTCTTTCTCTTCTTCTTCCTCTTCTTTTTCCTATTGTTTTTCCTCTTCCTCTTCTTGCTGTCTCTCTTCATCTTCCTCTTCCTCTTCCTCTTCCTCCCTCTCTCTCTCTCTCTGTCTCTTTCTCTTTCTCTCTTTCCCTTTCTCTGCTTCTTTCTCTTTCTCTTATTACACTTTCAATAAAAACCATAAAGTGGAAAAGGTAACGCAATCAACATGCTGAACCCCCACTCACTACAAGTACTACAAGTACTACAAATATCACAAGTTCATCGGCAAAAAACAGTTTTAATTGGATTTCAATAGTCGCCAATTCAAATCCTTGCTGAAATGCGGGATCGTATTTTTTTTGGGGAGGAGTTTTTTGACACCAAACTTTAAAGAGAGTATAGCATTTGTTGAGGGGTGGGGAGGGGGGCGTACACACAAACCAGGACGGAACATTATATATATATATTTGTATGTATGTAACAATGTAATAAATATGTGTATAAATATATGTATCTATACATACATTGTACATAAATTACATTCTATATGCATGTTCATGCGTATTGGTTTCCCCTGTCATTTGCAAATGGTGAAACGCGTCCAAACAGTAAGCCCATATATTGGCACAATCAGGAAACAGTACCGGCCGTGAAGAATCATATTAAGTGAACAGTCGCTTGCATTTGCAATCAAACACCCGCAAGATCAAGACAACTCCACTGTTCTACCTACCTCCAGTGGAAACAGTCATGTTTAGGACAACAAGGCAGAAACCTTCAAAAACACCACTTTCAGTCCTTGAACGCTCATTTTTCTGTGGAAGGCCCCTTTTTGTCCCAGCCAAAAAAGCCCAGATGTGCGAGCGGCCCACCTTCTACGTTGATGGCAATCCCTCCCATAGTGTAGTGGATCACAGGCACCACCTTTCAACGGCTCAAGGACTAGGTGCCTGGGTAACACCTGGTTGGTGGTTCCAACCTACCCCTCTGAAAAATATGAGTTCGTCAGTTGGGATGATGAAATTCCCAATGGAATTTCATAAAACATGTTCCAAACCACCAACCAGAAATGATTGAAAATCCACGATTCGGCGATAACTTAAAACATAATGCAAAGTCTGTGACCCCTACTTGCAGTTTGCCTTAAATCACTTTTGGGGGGGTGCCGGCACAACCTGGAGCTTGCCACACTCATACCACTCCATATCTTATCGACCTCACCGACGTAGAAATCCTCCGTCTCTTCAATGGTGTAGTCGGGAAAAACGGTTCGCCCAAAGACGTCGCTACCGCTTTTCCTTGCTGCAAATCAGTGCAGAAAAAAATGCGCGTCCACAATCCCTCAATCTGATCTTAATCATATGTGTACAACACTTTGACATCAAAGAGATGCTTCTCAAAAATGCTAAAATCAGAGAAAAAGGTAGAACCACAGCTTTTCGCTTCCGCAATGCAGCGTGCAATGCCCAGTGTCGCTGCATCGTTGTAATCTCGAAGGCTCTGCTTCAGAATGTCCACCTCGACAGCGTCACAGCATCGACATTGGTGAATCATTGGAAAGGGGAATGAACGATTTATTGTAGCATATATGAGGTACCCTCTGGTAAATTAACATAGACCCTGGCAGATAGGGGTTTGAAGATTAGTTTCCATTAAAAATTGGTGATTTTCAGGGGTCTATGTTACAGTAATTTACCAGGGGGTATATATGATGAAACATATTGCAATTCAAGTTTGAAACCTGTCATGGAACATGGTATGAAACATATTATGAAACGTTGTATGAAACATGAGAAGATAACATTTAATGAAGCGACACCATCAACGACATCATTGGTTTCGAAATCCTTGGCGCCTCATAGCCGAAGTGTTGAGCGAGGCCTTCCACACCCTCAACCTTCGTCAAGAGCCTAGTAGAGACGACCATGAACGAAGCTGGAGAGATGATATATCTACAATTATCCACACATATCGGCATATCTCTATAGAAACACATGTGTATTTAAAATCATATATTATATATCAAATATCATATATCATATATTATATATAATATATTATATATTAGATATTAGATATTATATATTATATATATATTATATTATACTATATTAAAATATAATATATAATATTATATTATATTATGTTATATTATATTATATCACATTAACTATTAAATTATATATATATAATGTTATATATATATATACTATATATATGTATATATATATATGTATATAGCGTTTGTATGTATACCTCCAGCCTCCAAAACCCACTTTGTTTTGGGTTGCCAGAAAAAAAACATGTCTTTTTCAAAATAACCCGTTTCTTTTTTTCAGCCAGGCATTTGGTTGTGGGAAATTGCGGGTACACTACAGGAAATTACGGGTAGAAATTTTGAAAACCATATTTTTCTAAAAATACATGGCTTTCTCTTATTTTTTGAAAAAACAGTTTTTTCGATTTCAACCAAAAAACTGGGTTAAGTGTGCCATGCGTGTATATATATATATATACACATGATGCATGATGCATAATCAAAGATACATAATGAACGATACATATGAACATTAAACTATACATCCATATACATCCAAAATCATCAACGTATACCACTGAGGCGACACAATTCACACAAACATGGCAAGGGTAAAGAAGGAGCTTACATTTTTTGTGCGACCACTTTCCATTTAAATTTAAATTCATATTTGAACATAGACATATAGATATATACATATATATGTATAGAGAGAGAGACCAGAGAGACATAATCTTTAGCTTACAAGGGCTGAGCTTGAAGGGCAGCAAATCTTTGGTTACACTTTTGCCACTTCCTCCACTTCCTCCACTTCCGGGATTTCTGGGGCAAAGGCAATCTGATCAAAAGCTGCAAATCTGGGCTGTCTCCTCTAACCACGACACCAACACCAACATTTCTTCACCCAAAATTGCACTAACCACGAAAGCCATCTCCAGCTTGAAAAACATACAATTCATGGTTGTTCATACTATCTATATTGTTGAGGCCTCCTATAATGAACCCCAACCTTCCCCTAGTCGCAAAGATTTCATACCTAGTCACCTAGTCACAATACAAAAATATGTCACCTATAGCAGCTTTCCAGAAATTCTAGCAACATCAAATCTGTCAAGTCCAAAAACGCGTTAGCGTTGTTGCCGAGGAACCCCTTCTTGGAGTACAAGGTCACATGGCGCTCGGCCATCTTGGCAGCCTTGCTGTTCCTCAACCGGATTTGGGGCCCTGGGGCCCCATTGTTTCAGACAAAACTCATCAGTCTACCAACAAAAACAAGAAACAAATACCATCTGGTTATTTTAACATAGCCATGGAAAATCACCATGCTATTAATAGGTAAACCCTCTATTTCGATTGGGGCCATGGCTTCCATGGCTATGTTAAATAACCAAAGAGTAGAAAAAACATGAAAAACACATACACAGAGCAAAACCAACATAGATTCTAGCATTTAATCAAAAAATGCCAGTAGACTACGCAGGCACAAAATAAAGCAGGATCAGAGGAGCTGGATTTTGGATATGATAATTGTAGACCATCTATACAGTATATGTATTATTATGTATTTGTTTCTTTTGACACCTATATACTACATTGCCTTGTATTTATTGAGGTTAAATCAAACCATGCTCTTTTAAACACATCACGTAGAATTCAATCATATTGAGTGGATTAAATGTAAACTATATTGTTTAGAGTTGTATTATATTTTACATTATATACTATTGGAATATAGATCGTTATTAAAAACACATAGTATTTTACGCTTTCCTATTTTAAATGATATCGATTTAAACAAAACCATTGTGTATCACTTGCATTATGCTGTATTCATTATGTTGTTCTCTATTAAGATTTCATATGTACAGTATACTGTACTATACAGGCATACATGATATTGAATAAGTTTTATTCTGCTATATAGATTGAATAGATTATGCTAAAAACAACTATATTGATCTATATTGTATTAGCAGAACTTAAATAGTACAAGCTTAAATAATAATTCCTTGTCTAAAACTATACTATATAAATATATATATCAACGTTTATCAAAGTGTAATACACATGTTGTCACGTATATAAATATATATTGCAATGCGATTCTCATGATAATGAATATTATTAACATAGTGCCATGTAACCATATCATATGCATGTATGTATACTGTATTTACATACAGTAGATGTGTGTGTGTGCTCCTCCCAGCGCAAGTAATCTACATGATCTTTTCCTGTTGGACAACTTCGCTGGAGACATGAGGGATGCAAACCATGTGGAACCTTTCCAGAGAATATCACCCAGGAATTGCTGTAACATCTGCAACTCACCCGAAGAGATAAGTACGGTAGCACTTACTCTACAATTTGCGCAGGGAACTAGTCCAGCAGCTCTTGAACAGTTGGGGTGCCTTTCCTGAGGAACTCAATAGATTCAAAAGACTCAAGATGAATCAACATGACATGAAACTAGAAAACAAAACTGGCTTGGCACATGGTGCGGCTTTTCCTGAGGTTCCAACAACACCAAAGCAAAGGCCTGACACAGAAAGCACCCGACGAAGCTGCCCCAAGCTGTCCCCTGTCCTGCGGAATGGCACCCGATGTGGCGAAGGCTGCGGTAGCGATAAACCCGCCTGGAGCAAAGCTGGCGAAGGCGGCGAAAGGCAAAAGTTGCGGCCAAGTGCCACAGTGCTAAACATGTTTCCATACATTTCCATATAGTTCTTATTGGTATCGATAGTATCAACCTATTCCGAGGCAAATCTGTTCAAAACATGAACAGCCCACTGCACGCACTAAATGCACTGAATGCTCCCACAGCTTTTGAAAGCGTCACGGAAATTACTCAGCATCTTTGAAAAAAAGCTTCACACGAGTCCGGAGTCCCGAAGATCAAAGTGTTCATCGATTCCTGTGTTCCAACTATTCAAAATTATTCAAAATAAGAAATGGCAATGGCATGTTGCCATTCAGCCTCTTGTTGCGTTGCATCTGTCAGTATCAACCAAGCATCATGTCCCCAAGTCAACCGAGGACAAACCGAGGACAGGAGCGGGACCTTATCAGCTTTCAACTCAGCATTCACCACAGCCTGGCTGCTGGGATCTGCTGGGAAATGCGAATCTGATCCATTCCTGGAGAGCTGTATTGCAAGTTCTGACTTCGCCCGTTAGTGACATGACTCCCAGAGTGTGGATTGCAGTGGATCAAATTTCAACTCTTCGCTCCTTTTCCATCAAGTGGATGCAGGGAAAATCCAACGGAAGCCAATCGTCACATGCAAACCATCTGGTTATGACATTCACACTTCGCCATGGTTTTTCCATGGCCCATAGTTAAATAATGTTAAATAGATGGTTAAATAGATGGTTTACCTATGAATAGCATGGTGATTTTAACATATTTTAACCATGGCAAAGTGTTAGTCATAACCAGAGGGTAGAATTTTTAATCCCCACCCAGCCGGTTCTCCCATCCCTGGCACCTGTCGAGTGCCTAGCTCGTTGGTAAATCGTCGACCATTCCTCAAGCGAGGTCGAAACTACAACGAAAGCCTACAATGTGAGGCCCCCGTTCGATAGCTAAGTTGGTGCAAATAACTCCAATAACTATATGGTTTATGGTATTTATAACTATAGTTACTGGGGCGAATCTAAACCAACTTGTATCTTGGAGGCCTCACATTGTACCTTTACGTTCACAAACTTCAACAGCACTAAAGTCTGGCTTTCAGAAGTTTGGTCTCAGAAATTTCCCCAGTTTCAGTAGAAAATATTAAAATTATTATAAAACCCATACATAACCCATATGTATATATATATTATTTATTTACAAGCCATCTATAGCCCATATATAACCCGTAACCTTGGCCTGACTTTTCCAGTCCCGAAAAAAATATTGGGAGGGCGGTCCTGTCAAGGAGGAGGCCGCCGACTCCACGTAACAACTCCGCACACAAGGTCTTGGTGTTCCTTAGTCGAACTAAGAGGTTTGGCTTCACATGGAACATCCCAGGAGATATCCTAGGATTTCCATGGATTTCCCAGGAGATACTGATAGATACCTGGAATGAGAGATACCATGAGATACCCATAGATACCCCAACATTCCAGGTATCTCATTCCAGGATGATTTGTGCGATTTGTGCGATGGAATCGGGGTGCCCCAGTTTTGCGCAAACTGAGTATGGATGCGGCCACCATGTTTCTAACTCAAATTCAAAAAACGTGAGTTTCCAAGGCGAAAAGGTTAGTTTCGCAACTAGCTGCCCATGCCCATGGAGGGTGGGAGGTCAGGAAAGAAGCAAACTCTGTAAGGAACAAGGTTTGCTTAGAAAAAAAACACACACCTTTGAGGGTGGGCAAATTCCCTTACTTTCCAACCCGCGAAACGGTTCGGCTCCTGGAAAAGTAACTATAGAGAAAAACAAAAGTTTGAGGGGCTGCTTAGGAAATGTTAGCAAAGCAAATCAAACACACAGGTTTCAAAACTCAAGTTTTGAATTTGGGAAAGATGAAGTGGATACCCTCTGGTTATTTAACATAGCTATTGAAAATCGCCATTTATAGTGGATTTTCCCATTAAACATGGTGATTTTCCATAGCTATGTTAAATTACCAGAGGGTAAGTTAGTTTGCTTCTTTCTACGGGCACCCGGGGGCTGCAGGATGACATTTTTGCGGCAGCCTCTGCAAAAATTCTGCAAAAATCTTACGCTTAGAAGGTAGTTGAAGCGGATCGTGGCCGTTGATGTCGTCCCTGATGGCAACCATATTACCCATAGGATCCATGTATGCTATATATCCGCCGACCCCTGCCGACAGCAGGGGGAGCGCGTCAGAGGAGGAATTACCAGCAGCAAGGGCCAAGAAGTCATTACAAGCAGCAAGGGCAAGAAGCAAGAAAACATGAAAGAAGAAGCAAGAAGCAAGAAGCAATTGCAGGCAACAAGCGGCAAGAAGCAAGAAACAAGAAGCCAGGAAGCAGCAAGCGGCTGGAAGACAGGTCAGAGAAGTCATTACAAACAGCAAGGGCAAGAAGCAAGAAAACAAGAAAGAAGAAGCAAGAAGCAAGAAGCAATTACAGGCAACAAGCGGCAAGAAGCAAGAAACAAGAAGCCAGGAAGCAACAAGCGGCTGGAAGACAGGTCAGAGAAGCAAGAAACAAGAAGCCAGGAAGCAACAAGCGGCTGGAAGACAGGTCAGAGAGCTAGTTTTCTTGTCGATTCAGAAAGCAACGGTAGGCAGGCGGCTGGAAGACAGGTCAGAGAGCTAGTTTTCTTGTCGATTCAGAAAGCAACGTTAGGCAGGCGGCTGGAAGACAGCTCAGAGAGCTAGTTTTCTTGTAGGTTGAGAAAGCAACGTTAGGCACTGGGGGCTGTTGCCCGGAGGCTCGGTCCGTCCTTCAGGGCCCTGCTGTTTTGCTGTGGCGAGGGCGCCGTTTGTGAGCCTTGACGGCTGGAAGAGAGCTAGTTTTCTTGTAGGTTCAGAAAGCAACGTTAGGCAGTGGGAGCCGTTGCCCGGAGGCTCGGTCCGTCCTTCAGGGCCCTGCTGTTTGGGCGTGGCGGAGGCGCCGTTTGTGAGCCTTGACGGCTGGAAGAGAGCTAGTTTGGGAGCCGTTGCCCGGAGGCTCGGTCCGTCCTTCAGGGCCCTGCTGTTTTGCTGTGGCGAGGGCGCCGTTTGTGAGCCTTGACGGCTGGAAGAGAGCTAGTTTTCTTGTCGGTTCAGAAAGCAACGTTAGGCACTGGGAGCCGTTGCCCGGAGGCTCGGTCCGTCCTTCAGGGCCCTGCTGTTTGGGCGTGGCGGAGGCGCCGTTTGTGAGCCTTGACGGCTGGAAGAGAGCTAGTTTGGGAGCCGTTGCCCGGAGGCTCGGTCCGTCCTTCAGGGCGCTGCTGTTTTGCTGTGGCGAGGGCGCCGTTTGTGAGCCTTGACGGCTGGAAGAGAGCTAGTTTTCTTGTAGGTTCAGAAAGCAACGTTAGGCAGTGGGAGCCGTTGCCCGGAGGCTCGGTCCGTCCTTCAGGGCCCTGCTGTTTGGGCGTGGCGGAGGCGCCGTTTGTGAGCCTTGACGGCTGGAAGAGAGCTAGTTTGGGAGCCGTTGCCCGGAGGCTCGGTCCGTCCTTCAGGGCCCTGCTGTTTTGCTGTGGCGAGGGCGCCGTTTGTGAGCCTTGACGGCTGGAAGAGAGCTAGTTTTCTTGTAGGTTCAGAAAGCAACGTTAGGCAGTGGGAGCCGTTGCCCGGAGGCTCGGTCCGTCTTTCAGGGCCCTGCTGTTTGGGCGTGGCGGAGGCGCCGTTTGTGAGCCTTGACGGCTGGAAGAGAGCTAGTTTGGGAGCCGTTGCCCGGAGGCTCGGTCCGTCCTTCAGGGCCTGCTGTTTTGCTGTGGCGAGGGCGCCGTTTGTGAGCCTTGACGGCTGGAAGAGAGCTAGTTTTCTTGTAGGTTCAGAAAGCAACGTTAGGCACTGGGAGCCGTTGCCCGGAGGCTCGGTCCGTCCTTCAGGGCCCTGCTGTTTGGGCGTGGCGGAGGCGCCGTTTGTGAGCCTTGACGGCTGGAAGAGAGCTAGTTTGGGAGCCGTTGCCCGGAGGCAAGAAGCAATTACAGGCAACAAGCGGCAAGAAGCAAGAAACAAGAAGCCAGGAAGCAACAAGCGGCTGGAAGACAGGTCAGAGAAGCAAGAAACAAGAAGCCAGGAAGCAACAAGCGGCTGGAAGACAGGTCAGAGAGCTAGTTTTCTTGTCGATTCAGAAAGCAACGTTAGGCAGGTGGCTGGAAGACAGGTCAGAGAGCTAGTTTTCTTGTCGATTCAGAAAGCAACGTTAGGCAGGCGGCTGGAAGACAGCTCAGAGAGCTAGTTTTCTTGTAGGTTGAGAAAGCAACGTTAGGCAGTGGGAGCCGTTGCCCGGAGGCTCGGTCCGTCCTTCAGGGCCCTGCTGTTTTGCTGTGGCGAGGGCGCCGTTTGTGAGCCTTGACGGCTGGAAGAGAGCTAGTTTTCTTGTAGGTTCAGAAAGCAACGTTAGGCAGTGGGAGCGGTTGCCCGGAGGCTCGGTTCGTCCTTCAGGGCCCTGCTGTTTGGGCGTGGCGGAGGCGCCGTTTGTGAGCCTTGACGGCTGGAAGAGAGCTAGTTTGGGAGCCGTTGCCCGGAGGCTCGGTCCGTCCTTAGGGCCCTGCTGTTTTGCTGTGGCGAGGGCGCCGTTTGTGAGCCTTGACGGCTGGAAGAGAGCTAGTTTTCTTGTAGGTTCAGAAAGCAACGTTAGGCAGTGGGAGCGGTTGCCCGGAGGCTCGGTCCGTCCTTCAGGGCCCTGCTGGTTGGGCGTGGCGGAGGCGCCGTTTGTGAGCCTTGACGGCTGGAAGAGAGCTAGTTTTGGAGCCGTTGCCCGGAGGCTCGGTCCGTCCTTCAGGGCGCTGCTGTTTTGCTGTGGCGAGGGCGCCGTTTGTGAGCCTTGACGGCTGGAACAGAGCTAGTTTTCTTGTCGGTTCAGAAAGCAACGTTAGGCACTGGGAGCCGTTGCCCGGAGGCTCGGTCCGTCCTTCAGGGCCCTGCTGTTTGGGCGTGGCGGAGGCGCCGTTTGTGAGCCTTGACGGCTGGAAGAGAGCTAGTTTGGGAGCCGTTGCCCGGAGGCTCGGTCCGTCCTTCAGGGCCCTGCTGTTTTGCTGTGGCGAGGCGCCGTTTGTGAGCCTTGACGGCTGGAAGAGAGCTAGTTTTCTTGTAGGTTCAGAAAGCAACGTTAGGCAGTGGGAGCCGTTGCCCGGAGGCTCGGTCCGTCCTTCAGGACCCTGCTGTTTGGGCGTGGCGGAGGCGCCGTTTGTGTGCCTTGACGGCTGGAAGAGAGCTAGTTTGGGAGCCGTTGCCCGGAGGCTCGGTCCGTCCTTCAGGGCCCTGCTGTTTTGCTGTGGCGAGGGCGCCGTTTGTGAGCCTTGACGGCTGGAAGAGAGCTAGTTTTCTTGTAGGTTCAGAAAGCGACGTTAGGCAGTGGGCGCCGTTGCCCGGAGGCTCGGTCCGTCCTTCAGGGCCCTGCTGTTTTGCTGTGGCGAGGGCGCCGTTTGTGAGCCTTGACGGCTGGAAGAGAGCTAGTTTGGGAGCCGTTGCCCGGAGGCTCGGTCCGTCCTTCAGGGGCCTGCTGTTTTGCTGTGGCGAGGGCGCCGTTTGTGAGCCTTGACGGCTGGAAGAGAGCTAGTTTTCTTGTAGGTTCAGAAAGCAACGTTAGGCAGTGGGAGCCGTTGCCCGGAGGCTCGGTCCGTCCTTCAGGGCCCTGCTGTTTTGCTGTTTTGCTGTGGCGCCGTTTGTGAGCCTTGACGGCTGGAAGAGAGCTAGTTTGGGAGCCGTTGCCCGGAGGCTCGGTCCGTCCTTCAGGGCCCTGCTGTTTTGCTGTGGCGAGGGCGCCGTTTGTGAGCCTTGACGGCTGGAAGAGAGCTAGTTTTCTTGTAGGTTCAGAAAGCAACGTTAGGCAGTGGGAGCCGGTGCCCGGAGGCTCGGTCCGTCCTTCAGGGCCCTGCTGTTTTGCTGTGGCGAGGGCGCCGTTTGTGAGCCTTGACGGCTGGAAAAGAGCTAGTTTTCTTGTCGGTTCAGAAAGCAACGTTAGGCACTGGGAGCCGTTGCCCGGAGGCTCGGTCCGTCCTTCAGGGCCCTGCTGTTTGGGCGTGGCGGAGGCGCCGTTTGTGAGCCTTGACGGCTGGAAGAGAGCTAGTTTGGGAGCCGTTGCCCGGAGGCTCGGTCCATCCTTCAGGGCCCTGCTGTTTTGTTGTGGCGAGGGCGCCGTTTGTGAGCTTTGACGGCTGGAAGAGAGCTAGTTTTCTTGTAGGTTCAGAAAGCAACGTTAGGCAGTGGGAGCCGTTGCCCGGAGGCTCGGTCCGTCCTTCAGGGCCCTGCTGTTTTTGGGCGTGGCGGAGGCGCCGTTTCTGAGCTGGAAAGCTGGAAGACGGCTACTTTTCTTGTAGGTTCAGAAAGCAATGTGGGGCATTGTCGTGCTGTGTGGCAACCTTAAACTGGAAACTTCATCAGGTATGCACGCGCCACTGGTTGGTGCGACACTGCCGGCCGCTGGGATTGCGATGCGTTACCCGAATTCGGCCGGAAGCCAGTGTTGAGCGCACCACCGTGCCGCATGTTGGACATGCATGCGAATATGTGCGGCCTGCGAGCAGGCCATTGGCAACGCGAAATTGTTTGCCGCAGCCATTACCGCGGCGGTGATCGACGCGCCCTGTTGCCACAGGGCTTTGCACAGACTTGGCACAGTACGGGCAGATGTATATGTGCAGTCGTGGCGGTGCTGTGTCAGGCCCGACAGCAAGCTGCTGGTTCGATGAGTGGGCAGTGTCCGTTTTGGGACCTTCTGCTCGCGTGGAAGTTTGTCTTGCTTCGTGTATTTCCTGAATTTCCTTGCGAATGTCCTCTAGGATTGCTGCGTGCCGGTGGCGGGTTTCGCGTTTGCGCAAGCGGGCCAGGCGTTGATTCGTGCGATGAGCAAGACGGCAAACGAAGGCAAAGGCTGTGCATGCGTTGCATACTTGTGTGCCGTTTTGAGTATATTCACGACCTTGTTGCCAAGCTGTAAACTCTGTTCGTGGCTTGCGTTCCGCGCACTGGCGACATTGCCAACAGCCGCGTAGTTTGGTGGCACATTCTCTGCAGCAGCGGCGATCCGCGTTGCGAGCTTTCCATGCGGCTGCGCCAAAGTCGGATTCTGCTTTCACAACGCCACACTTGAAACAAGGTTTCTTCACTTCACATGTCAAACACACACGAAAAAAACTACACTGCCGTTGACGATGCTTTGCTGGAAAATTGTCTTCGGCATGCCACAGCTTGCAAACGTTGCATTGCCACGGCGTTCCTGCGTCTGCGTAGTGCTTTGTGCATTCGCGACAGACGCGATCCTTGTCCTCGCGCTTCCATTGACCGGTCGTGAAGGCTGCTGCTGGCTTGCGTTCCGTACAGGTTGCGCACCGACGTTCTTCGCAGTATTTGGCCAACAACGATTGCCAGTTGATGAAATCCCCTCGAAGGTGTCGCAGAAGAAGGTCTCGGCCCAAACCAATTCCCTTTTGGAATGGAGCGGCGTCAAAAGGTCGAAAAATCAACAATTTTTCGCGTCCTGTGACGCGAGTGATCGCGACATAGACCGTGAAGGGATTTCCTGTGGGACCTATACAAAGATCCGTCATCACCCCCTCTTTGATGGTCTGTCCTTGCGCCACATGCGCGGTGATGGCGAACTGGGGTGCGAGCGGGAATTGCGTCCGCGATACACGCAGCTTGGGGCGTTGGCGTTGCCGGTCTAAGTACCACACACGCCTGCAAGTTCCGACGGGGTATACGTTTGCATCCGGCAGACCTGGCACATGCCATGAGGTTGCGGTTTCAAACCTCACATACACCACGGCCGGCAAAGTGTTGCACACGACTCCTTCCGGCGCAGGCGTCTCATTGGCAATCGTGGACCAACCGACGACGTAGCCCTTGGTGCCTTTTAGAATGCCACGCTTCCGGTCGAGGTGATCTGTTGCACGGACAGGCATGCCGACGCACAACGGCAACACGCCGTACAGTCCACCGCACTCTTTGTCGTGTCGCTGCAACCATTGCAATTTCTCCGTCGTCAAATTCGGCTTCTCCTGCACGACCACAGACGACGCAACATCTTGCGCAACAAATAAATACGGTTGCTTGTCTCTGGCATTCGCCCACTGTATGGCGCGAAGCTTGTTCACGTGGTATTTGATGTCGTTGGTGCCGAAAATCGCGACCGCATCTGCAAATTCCTTCTGGAACCGTGTGTCCGCAGCTCCTTGCGCCACAAGTATGCGCGAACGGCGATCCGCCGCACAGTAGCTGCATTCGGCCTCTTGTATGGCTTCTGGAATTAGGCCTTGTGTAGGCAACGCGGCGCAACTTGGTTGTTGGCACGTCGCCTGCCCAGCAATCCAGCTGCCTGGCACTGTGGTAGGCCGCCCGTGCAGAAAGCGATGGTTATTGTCGGACAAGTCACCATGGCGCAGTTGCTCACGCGCCACAGAAGATATGCCCAGGGGTCGGCAGCAGGGGGCGGAGCCCTTTAATTATATATATGGGGTTGGATCAATACCTATGAAAATACCATTTTTAGTGGGTTATTCACATCCATAAATCCCAGCTATTTTCATGTGAACTACAGGGGTACTATTGGTTTTGACACACTGCCATATTATATACCCTCTGGTAATTTAACATAACTATGGAAAATCACCATTTTTAATGGGAAAACTCACTATAAATGGTCATTTTCAATAGCTATGTTAAATTACCAGAGGGTATATCTCTAGAAAATCCCACTCCAAGTGGCTGCTACCATGACGCCCCAGCTGAGATCCCCAGCCACCGATTCTGCATAGATCGGGGCCTCCAGCGTCTTCGCCGTCTCATTGGGATTCCTTTGTTGCGCGATCTGCGCCGATGGAATCTTGGGACATTGATGTTATAAATGTCTATTCTTGGCCTATTCTTGGTTGGTTTAATCATTTAATCCACATGTTTGCTATTTAATGATATTTGGCAGTGTGTCAAAACCAATAGTACCCCTGTAGTTCACATGAAAATAGCTGGGATTTATGGATGTGAATAACCCACTAAAAATTGTATTTTCATAGGTATTGATCCATACCCATATCCATTTATAGATAATGGCGATTCCCTATAGTATAAACATAGTATAAATAAGTGGGACATATAATGGTGATTCCCAAAAAAGATAGTATAAACGTCCATTTCGTTCGGGAATTTCCCAGCTTGCCGTGGTCCGTTTTGGTGACATTAAGATGCCGCATCAACTTTGGTAGGATGTCTTTGATTCCCCGGAAATTTCGCCGGAAGGTCTGGAGATTACCTTGCCAAATTTTATCAGTTTTTAGTCTGTGTGTGTGTATTATATATATATATATACACCCTCTGGTTATTTAACATAGCCATGGAAAATGGCCCATTTATAGATGGTTTACCTATTAAAAATGGTGATTTTCCATAGTTATGTTAGTTTACCAGAGGGTGTGTATATATATATATAGATAGATAGATAGATAGATAGATAGATCCCCATTCTGAAGTGAAAGGATCAAAGTTATTAGCAACTACCCATCCAGCCAAGGTTGACCCAGGGGTGGCCAAAATTCACGAGCAAACGAGCCAAGCATTCTGATGGAAAATGAGAAGATAACCACTGCATGTTTTACATCTGATTAGAATATGTTGAGGTAAATTATACAACAATTCACTATTATTCACTGTCAATCACTATTCACCACGACCAATTACAATAGTTAATCACTGTTAGAACATCACTATTAGTCACTATGAGCCACTACTAGTCACTTTAAAATCACTATAAAAGTCACGATTCACCACTATGAAATGCGATTATAATTACTATTCATCAGTATTAATTAATCACTATTAGAATATCTGGTTGGTGGTGTCAACCCCTCTGAAAAATATGAAAGTCGGTGGAATTATTCCCAACTGAATGGAAAAATAAAACATGTTCCAAACCACCAACCAGATGATTATGAACATTTATCATGAATATGTTATGATATGATATGCCTATTCATGATAAATGTAGATGACATGCCACCATGGCACCTATAGTCTATGTTAGTTTACCTCAGGGTATCCCACATGTTTTCTTTACAAAGAGGTATCTTCCATCCCCGTCTTCAAACCCGTCGCGTCCCAACGCAGAACCCAGGGCATCCGACTCCGTGTAATTGATGGCGGCCTTGAACCTGACTGGATGGTGGACTTTCCGCACAAAAACATGTAAAAACTACGAAAATGTAGCGAAAACCTCAGAAAATGTTGGGGAGAACTCAGAAAATGGAAAGAAAACCATAGTAACACTCAAGAAAATGTGGTGAAAAACTTGGAAAATGTATGGGAAAACTCAGCAAATGTAGGGGAAACCATGGGAAAACCCAAGAAAATGTGGTGCAAAACCTCAAAAAATGGAGGGGAAACCAGGGGAAACCTCAGGGAAACCCAAGAAAAAGAAACCGAAATCCCCATGTTCCGCTAAATGAGACGGATCCGAAATCCCCCTTTTTCTCCCCTCAGTCTGCGGAAAAATTCCGCACCTGGATAACGTCTCGAAGTGTTTGGCCATATCGGTGGCCAGGACGCTCTCAATGACAATGCGCCTGGACAGGTTGAGAAATTCGATCTCCATTTTTCTAGGGATGTCCTCCCAAGATAGGGTCTTTTGTTACGGGGAAGTGATTGATAAACAGTGAAACTTCCGGGTATACCACCCAATATGTGGCTACGTTTTTCTGATTTACCTGGGAGAAATGATTTAAATTGGTAATATAATGTAATATAACCATCAGGAATTGGGGGATTTTGTCAGTGGAGAAACTTGGGGATAGGTCAATGTTTCAGGCCTATATTATGAAACCGCTGATTTTTGTCATTTTCGGTATTAACCATCCAAATGCAGTGGTAATTTTGATCCACACCCAGATGCAACCAAACATGTTTTGTCCATGTTTTCTATGGGCAGATTGAGTCTCCAGTCATCCCATTCTAACATCAAATACCAGCCAAACTTGGCAGCCTGGTTTAGTATTATGATGTATTATGGGTATCTGTTTTTCATTGGGGGACCTGGGGCCCCCTGGGGCCCATTGGAATGGGTAAAATCAGAGGACCCAGTCCTGAGGAGAGTGAAATCTGCATCGGGAAGGCCTCAGCTGGAGACCCCCTGAGCGATCACCAAAAAAGATCGAAAAGTCACACCCAAATGTCCAAATGAAGTCCAGATTAAATCTCATCAAAAAGTTGAACCTTTTCAAATTACAAGGGGATACTATAAATGGTTACAGCGGTGGCAACGCAGCCTTGGCACTGCCGACACCCCCCCAGGGAACTGCATGGAACTGCGTAACTGCACTGGGCATACTTCTGGGCCACGCACCTGAGCACTCGTCCTTGGGGTTGTCTGAAAATGGAGTGATTACCCTCTGGTAAACTAACATAGCTATAGAAAATAGCCCATTTATAGTTGATTTACCTATGGAAGATGGTGATTTTCCATAGCTATGTTAGTTTACCAGAGGGTACATGTAATTACCGAGTAATCGCAGTTCTATATCCCCAACTTGAATCAGATTGGCGAATTGGCAATTTGGGTTGTTGTCAATGGCACTTTTGTTGCATGTTTGGACACATCTGTGATTCCTTACCAAGTAGTTACTGCAAGTTCTGAGTCGGGTTGTAGCTTAGTAGTTGTTGTATTCCCGTTGCGCTTCATCCCTTTAGCAAAGCTCCCTATCTGGTCTCATCTTCTAGCTTGATGTTGATGCACAGTTTGATCATGAATGTGCTGTCATGAACTATGTGATGGATGATCACATCAAACTGCTCACACTGCCAGAAGCAAAAGTCTTTTACCCAATGGGGCTAGGAAGTCGCACAACTGGGCGTTCGCAGATCAGAGCTAAGTGGAATTATAACGTTAACCCTATCTGATCCCTACAGAGGCCCTAGAGCCCTATCTGATTGCTGGTTTCAACATGTTTCAACCCATACTGATGGACAATGACGTCAAGCCTGGATTTAAAATTCAGCTGAGCTGATCCTTTGACATTGCGTGAAAACACAACTGAAACTTGAAACTGTGATATATCCTTGACATGCTGTTGATCATATCCCATTTTCGAGTAGAATCACCAGGAAATCACCTGTCACCTGCAGCAGCAGGACGGTCGTCCTCTGTCGAGCTTGGGATCTTGAACAGCGAACTATGCGGCTGTCGTAGAATGCTGAAGCCTGAGCAAAAAAAAAGGGCGCCCAGCCATGCACGAAGCCATAGATATTGATAGTTAGAAGCGTATCCTCTATCTGTGGGCCTCAAAAACTTGAAAATTCCTTCAATCATGATTTGAGAGCAAAGGAAGCGTCTTTTTCGTGATGGCTCTCTTGCGACTAACATGTGCTGCACGCTCAACCGCATGCTGCCGCAGTGCTGTTTGTCCCATGGCAGTCCAAATCATTGAATGCAACATTTCGGTATGGTCACGAGACGGGAGGGAGCTTCCAGAAAGTGGCAGTCGGTGGCAGTTCATTCACTTTCACTATAACTTCCCATTACTTCCCCAGAAAACTTATGGCAAAAATACCCTAAAGCCGTCAAGCCACCCTGGAAGCCCCGAGGCTCTGACCGATGGTGCAGTGCATATTTTCCAGTGGAGATTGATCCTCCGGATGACTGGGGGTGTCCCCATGGATTTTCCACCACTATTGTTAGGAATATCATGGAATATCTTGATAAATCATGATAAATCCACCATTTATAATGCTTTATAATGGAAAATCCCCATGACTATGGAAACCTCCGTGTATATATATATATATATATATGTTTATATGCACGTCTTTGTGTACATCTTGCGTACATCTTATATGTATTTTTCCAAGTCCCAGCCGGGCTCGCCGTTAAAAACTCATTGAGGCCGGTGCGTTGTAAAGAACCGCCACGGGGTCGTGGCTGGCAACGTGAAAGCGGTTGGTCCTGGGGACCAAGGGACCAGGGGCATCTCAGTTTGGGTGGCTTTCAATCTGAAAAATATCTATATATATATATACTATATATCTTTATATAATAGTAATACAATACAATGCGTAATATAACATAATATATAGTGATAATAATGATAATAATGATAATAATGATAATAATGATAATAATGAAAATAACAGTTATACTAGTGGTAATAACAGTGATACTAATGATAATAACAGTGATAATAATGATAATAATGATAATAATGATAATAATGATAATAATGTTAATAACAGTGATAATAATGATAATAATGATAATAACAGTGATAATAATGATAATAATGATAATAACAGTTATACTAATGGGAATAACAGTGATAATAATGATAATAACAGTGATGCTAATGATAATAATGATAATAACAGTGATACAAATGATAATAACAGTGATAATAATGATAATAACAGTGATGCTAATGATAATAATGATAATAACAGTGATACAAATGATAATAACAGTGATAATAATGATAATAACAGTGATAATAATGATAATAATGATAATATATAGTGATAATAATGATAACAACTGTGATACTAATGATAATAATGATAATAACAGTGATTATTTCATAATGATCAATGATCAAAAAAAGTTATTATTAGTATAATTTATAATAATAACAATGACAATAATCTCGTTTGATGTGTAACGATCATCCCAAGCTGGACCTGGATGGACCGTTCTCCGGTTCTCCAAAGTGGCGATGTGAACAATCGACCAATTTTTAAAGAGGCGATGTGACACCTTTGCCATTTATAGGGGATGTTTGATTTGTAGGGAAATCTACCATAGACTCATAGATGTTTTTTTCCCATGCAAAATCCTCTGCATTTCTATAGGGGAGATTCAACAATTGCCATGTTTGAGGGTAAACCATCCAGTTTTGGAAGGGCCAATCAGTTTGAGCTCCAAGATCCAGTCCCAGCAATACCATGGGAAGCGGAATGCCGCCTTCCAAAGTGACCAACATCGTGAATTACTGCCTTAGTGCCAACTGTGCCTTGGAGCTGAGAGCTTATGATGTGGAAAGGTCTCCCTCAAACATCTGTTCACTGGAAAAATATGAGGTTCATATCATCCACGTACAACACCTTCAAAAACTTTGGGACCTGTTTCGGGGAAAAAAACCTTTGGACAACCCTGAACAGGTGTTGAAATACCCACCCTTGCACCCTCAGCACTTTTAGGAGGTATTCCCCGATTAGTCCAATAGCCAACCAACATACAAGTAGTATATTTTACAGTAAAATGGATGTCTGAAAATTGGCTGAAACCCTGCAGTCGGTGCTTTAGAACCTCATGTTCCCAATGAAAACTACCATCAATTGCGATAAATCCCTCATGTTCAGTCGAACCCAACTATCATAATATCAAATTTCTTATATATACATATATATATATGTATATATATATTATGTTTGATATATATATATATATTATGTTTGATATATATATATATATATTCCATCATTATATATGTATATACACACACATATACATATATATATATATACAAATATATACACTTATCCCATTCTTGCTGATCATACCTCCCGTGCAGGTTCTATCCCCACTCCAACTCCAGTGGGGATCCCGTGCAGCCACAAAGGTCGCAAGTCGCGAGACGTTGCCCAAGGGCGCGCGACTCACACGCCGGTCCTATCGTCGCCCAAGAGGTGTCAATGGGATCTGCAACTAAGGTTAGATATATCACTTACCATCTGGTAAACTAACATTGCTATGGAAAATCACAATGGTTTACTATGTAATGTGTAGATCAACTATACCATCTGGTTATTTAACATTGCCATGGAAAGATCCACCATGTTTAAGAACGGTAAACCATCTATTTCTATAAGCCATTTTCCATGGCTATGTTAAATGACCAGAGGGTAACTATACTTCAAAAAGGGTTATAAGAATTTATAAGATGTCATAAGACACAAATAAAACTGTTAAGATTGTTGAGGGCTAGAACTGTAGAGTGAAATTGATTACTAATGATTATATATAGTTTGGTAGGGATAGGGATTTGAATAATTATCACTATTTTATTGGGGATTTACTAACAACGACATGGAAACCCCAGGGAACTTTCATGGGGGACGAATGTAGCATCCCAAATTGGAAGTAAACCTGGCATCATGGCATCTTTCAACTGGATCCCTGAGTCGGGGACCATGGGCTAAACGTTTAGATATGGAAAAATCCATGAAAATCCGTGGTTACGCTAAGAACATGATCTACAGCTACTGGGTTCTCAACATCTATGTTAGTTTACAGGAGTTTATCCTGCGCAGAAGTTGGTGAGTCGCATCCCAGTTTCAAAGTGTGATGAACCTGAAACCTTGAAACTGGTGGCTTTCCAAGAAGAAACCTTTAGAGCTTGGATGTGACCATGCAAGCAACACAAATCGCCAGATAAGTCAGATAACCAATCAAATGAATGCCATTGCCAAGAATCATAGAAAATTCCGATATGTATACATATATATATATAACACATATTATATGTATATATATATGTATATATACGGGTCCATTAATTTCTTCAACTGCTGTGACCCACATGTGAACCTGCATCTTCAAAGCAGGAAGCCTCCACTGCTTTAATGGCAACAGCATCTGGCCGACCTTGAAACCCAAAGTACCTGAGACATCAAGAACCAGATTTTTTCAAAAATCCCCCTGCCCCTCTCAGGATGCCCCCCACCAAAAAAGCTCGCGTCCTCGCGCAGGAAGTAGGTGCATGAGCTTAAAACGTCAGCAGCGTGGATGCTGTTGTGGTAGGGGATCCGATGGTACTGCTTCTGCACGTCTTGTAGGAAACCCCTGGCACCAGCGGTTCTCGCTTCGAGAAGTGCTCACCTAAACTGAGTTCTGTAGCAAGGACTGGTTTATCATAAAATTGCGGAAAATTATCGTACTTTATCATTGATATCATTGTAAGTATTATATCGTATTATCAGTATTGCGGTCGGACCGTCATTATCATGCTATCTGGTCGTCATTATGAGTAGCACTAGCGCTGTTGTTGCCGCCATGAGTATCATTCTCATTCTATCGGTATCTCATGACATTTATGTTCTTTACCATTCAACAAATATTTGGCGATCAGGGATCACCATTCCAGATATATGTTCGGTTTAAACATGTTTAAACCCCATATTTTTTTATGATCCCACATGCTCATGCTCATCATGCTCATCATAATCCTTTTCTCAAGTCACAATCCCATTCCGCCCGCTTCTTTCGGAAAAAAAAAACATCGATGAAAAGTGATGAAAAGTGTTTCCTGGAAAAGTGATGTGTATCCACAAATGAAAAGTGTGATACTTGTCGATTGTTTCTATTGTTTTTCCCACATTTCTCCATATAATATGTTTTTCCATATTATTGTCCTCACATGTTTCCATATTTTCCAACCGTTCCGCATCTTTTTGGGGCTTGACGATGACGGGGTTGCGTCTTCGTTGCTGCAAGAAGGCTGCACTGCCTGAAAATATGTTACATCATGATAGATAGGTTTAGAATATTGACAAGTAATCGAATGCAATCTATAATAGAAAGCATTATTGGGTACGATGTATACAGTATACATATACATTACATGCTATCATCATGTGTGTCTCATGCATATACATATACATACAGAATTATACAGAACTATGTACATATACAGCATATGGGTGTGTCTGAGAATGGGGTATACACCCAAAATAGTTAAACTTTAATGGAGAATAATCACCATTGGACTTTGGGTACCCTATCAGAGAAACCCATACCTGGTTTGTGGTTGACCTACCCCTCTGAAACATATGAGTTCGTCAGTTTGGATGATGAAATGGAAAAAAGAAATTCATGTTCCAAACCACCAACCGGATACTGTATCATATACTATTATGATACCATTATGATACGCACAAACATGTTCCCAGCAACCCAAATGATCCTAGCCTCAGCGGAACTTTGAAGTTGCTGATGCCGGCCTGGAACCAAATGTGGAGATTTTCATTGTCACAATAGTGGGATAAGATGCACAGCCAAAATGTGGTGATTGAACCAACCAGGTTCGGGGGTTGGTTGAGCTGCAAAGTTGTGGCCTTCAGAGTCTGGGTCACCATGGAAAGCCCAGACTGTTCTCGTGGCATCTCGTGGCTATATCAACAACTTAGTTTGTGGAACCACAGTTTTCCGCTGGTATAGGACGCCCATTCTATGGTGGAACCCGTGCCCAGGTGACGTCGCAAATCACAGGTAGAACATCAGGCTACACCGCCCTCCACAGAGGTAACCGCTGCCTCTGTCAGTAGTTCCGATCCAATCGTGAAACCAGTATGTAACCTGGGGTTAGAAAGGGGAGATATGTTCTGAGGGGGCTGTAGTTGAGGATTCCAACCCCCGGGATATAACTGATATAACCTGTATACAGCTGGTTATATATTCACTGGTTGGTGGTTGACCTACTCCTCTGAAAAATATGAAAGTCAGTTGGGATGATGAAATTCCCAATATATGGAAGAATAAAATTCATGTTCCAAACCACCAACCAGTTCAATATTTATTCAATTGTAAGTGGAACTGCAACTCAGAGACTCCTGGGGATCGACAATCTATGACTCCATGAGTCCAGAGTTTTATGGCTAGATTGAATAAAATGAAGCAAGCAAATCATATCAAACCGAGATTTGGTCATTTATCATCACCTTCCAGTCAGGTTTGCGTTTCAAAGATTTCGTTGCAGAGCAATGGAACGTCACCATTTGGAACACAAACATCATCTGTAGATAGGGAGCTCTTTCTCCCTTTGTTTGCCAGAGAGTACAAGGTGGTGCTCTCCAGTTATAGGAAGTTGGCTTGCAAAACCTATATATTAAGTATAGTTGCGGCTCCCATAAGCCCAAAACTATTCAGGGACCTAGTGAAATAAACCAACTTAGCTATGCCGGGGGGGCCCACCTTTGAAAAGGAGTGCTTTTCTGGTGAAAACCGGAGCATGGCGCTCGAAAGGATGTGCTGTTGGTGCTTTTTTGATGTTGTACTCGTCCTCTGCTGGACCTAAAATCGATCCAAAACGGATCTGAAGTGTTGACCCAATGTTTGGGGGGCTCATCCCCGCATTTCGTGTAGGATCCATCATGATAAATCCCCTAACATCACCTTACACTAGGCAAAGCGCCCAAATCCATCCACCCCCCGAGGCCATCTGCAGTGTATTGCCATGCCGGCGCTCCTGAGACAGGGCCCCAAGGGCCCCAAGGCTGATGAAACTCCTATTGCTTGCGGAAAAAAGAATCCTCGTTCTGCTGGAAAAGTCTTGGTGTGTTGCTGCTAAAATCCCCCATTGCTGATAAAATCTTGGGTATGAGTCGTCAAATTAGTTTTTGACCCATACCCACTTCATCGCAGTGAACGGTTTATTTTTCTGGGTGAAATGAGCAGATTGAAAAACTCGAAATGTCATTCCATTTAGCAGATTGAAAAACTCGAAATGGCATTCCATTTAGCAGATTGAAAAACTCGAAATGTCATTCCATTTGATGCTGGTTGGTCAAGAACGGGATTCCCAGTTCGTGGATTACTGTAGCCGAAGGGCAAAGGCATATGCATCAAACTTCCATCTGCCGAGTTTGGAGACCTAAGCTCTGAGGCGAGGCCAGGTAAAACTCGGCGAACTGTTGGGTTTGATTTTGTGATTCGAAGATATTCGAAGTATAGGCTGGGTCTGTATTTTTATGGTGATTTTATAAGTTATTCGAAGTATATGACCGGTCTGATGGGGTTACAAAGTAACCAACTAACATCACTGGGGAACACAGCACCTTCGAGAGCAGGAGGAATCTCAGGTTTGTTCTGCTGGGACATTCCACGGACATATAGGTCGCCAGGAGTTTTCCAGGTTAGCAAAACCATTTTCATAGTGGTTTTCACAATACCGGGGGCCCAACCTCTCTCTTGTCGGTGATTTCCGGCCTAGGGCCGCCCAATGCTGTCGCAAGGAAACCGCACTCCGCAAGTGTGCAAAATGCAAGCATCAAAACTGTGGGTGTTGATCAAATGTGATCAAATCATCAACATCATCAGCCAAATTTTGGATATTGATGGATACAGTATGGCATGCAGTATGCCATGATATAACACCATATGGCACCAAATTGAAAGCTGCTGTGGATTTCAGCCCCTCGCGGCAGCTCTTCACTGTGTTCCGCCGGTGACACGGGCATCTCGTTGAAGCAACCTGCCATTGGAGGCTGCAATGGTTTAGTTGTTGGACTGAAGGCTGCAAAATCTGGCAAACAAAAAAAAACAGCAGAAAAAGGGGAACGGAATATGAATAATAGATGATAATAGATGGTACACAACCACAACAGACCATAAGCATACGTAACCCTGCCAAAATGAGAATAGAAACAAGCACGAGCTGCCAATGCGTGGCACAGTGGCACATGGGATTTTTCACCCAAAGCCTTCACCAATTGGCTTCATCTGAAAATAGGGCGCTTCAATGTGCCCCAAAATTCCTATGGTTCATCATCATTCGCCTATTTGAATGCAATCTGATTGGGGGTATACCACATGTTCAGACACTCCGAGACAATCACATTGCTCATCGTTATAACCCATCTATATCCATCTATATCCCACTAACATTCCAGTGATATCAATATCCCAAGAAACCCATAGTTTATCAATGTTTATCATAACTTTCCCTACGAAATATCCATTCTTGGAATATACCTCATTTCCAGAGACCCTATGAGACATCCCTTCCAAAAAAATCCTTTCAGCGAATCCCAGCCATTCCCGCCATTCCCCAGCCTCGATGTAGCTGGGCCAGAAAGTGGAGCTGTTCATCTGCCACAAAAGATCCCTTAGTGAAAAAAAACTGCATGTCTTCCCAGTTTTTTTGGGGGAAAAATGGAGGGTTTATGAGGATTTCATCCTTTGATCAGGTAAAAACATCGAAGATTTTCCGTGACACATGGCTGGGTCTAACCATCAAAACTAGGGATTCAACTATACTGAAATCGAGTGAACAATGGGTTTGCCCAGGGGCTGATGGTTCATGTTCTTTTCTGGGTTGGTTTTTTATGTTTTTTCCCGCTTTTGCTTGGTAGTTGGTCGTAGTTGGTCCCAAACCACCTACCGCTAGTCAAACAGTGATGGAAAATCACCATGTCAAACAGATGTACCCTCTGGTAAACGTTTACATAACTATGGAAAATCACCATTGTTAATGGGTAAATCAACTATTTCTATGGCCATTTTCAATAGCTATGTTTGCTTACCAGAGGGTGTCAAACTCAGGGGACCATCTATAGCTATCTTAAATTCCCCCAGGGCAAGAAGTTGATCGGCTTCTTATTTGGCTGAACTCGACCACCCATGGAAGAGCATCCTCTGGCAAACATAGCATTGAAGAATTCCCCAGCGGTAATCTAACAGTTCGCTATTGCAAATGGCCCATTTCTAGTTGATTTATGTTGATTTGCCTATTAAAAGTGGTGATTTTCCATAGCTATGTAAACGTCTACCAGAGGGTATAGCTTACTTCGGGGATTCCCCAGCCACTTCTGCTGGGTGGCCGCAATACACCAAAAAATGGCCTGTAGAGGGCAGCGACATCATGGATGTCTACAAGGTGGCAAGGTGGCCCCCCTGGCCCCCCAGTTACCCTCTGGTAATTTAACGTAGCTATTGCAAATCACCATTTTTCATGGGAAAATCCACTATAAATGGCCATTTTCAATAGCTATGTTAGTTTACCAGAGGGTATAAGTTGGTTTATAAACTCCATTCATATTTGTGAGCTTGTGAAGCAATCATAAAGCAGTAAAGCATCCCAAAAATCACCACAAATGGCTGGTATAAACCATCAAAATATGGGTGGTTTATAACAGTTACTATCGTCAACCATTCACTGTCGCAATTTCTGTAAACGCAACAGTTCACCTGTGGGTGCATCCCACTTAGTAAATGGGTGAAAAAAAACTGTTAGACTACAGTATTGGAATATCCCACTAATATATAGGATTAATGTTGGAAAAACTATAATAAACGATCCCCAAAATCACCATTTCTACAGGTGGTATGTATACCATTCCCAGTCATTTTGGTAGTTTATGGCATTGTGTTACCCACATTAATCCTCAAAACCACCATTAGTGGGTATAAAAAAAAAACATGGATTATAATCACTATAAAAACCACTAACCACCATTTTTCTGGCATAGTGTTGATAAAAACCTATTAAAAATGGTGATTGTCCATATTTCACTCCCACCTTAAGCCACATTAAACCACCTTAATGGCATATGTGGATTATAAACCACAGATCTGATTCGTGGGATGCACATCCGTCCAGGCCCTGACCTGGGTTGCCCGGACGCTGGCACTGGCGCTGGACCGCGCCGAGCGAGCCGACTTTGGGCCCGTCATGGTCTTGGGGCTAGCCTCGGTGGAAGTTCCGAAGATTCCAAGAAAAATGGTGTCTAGGGCTGGATCTACATATTATATATATATATATAGTATATGCGTATATATAATTATAATATATATATATATATATATAGTAGGTATGTATATACTATATATATATATATACATTATATACATGTATAGTAGATACAAATATATAGTTAGATATAGTTGGAGCACGGCCTTTATCTGGCCGTGCGTTTTCGTGCACATTGGGGGGGTGGGGTGGGGTGGGGTGGTGTGGGGTGGGGTGGGGCATGTGTTAACGTTCATGTGAACTTGCTAGGTAAGTGGACTCGTCTCTGTGTGTGCCGTTATGTGCGTGTAGACATGGGTGGGGTGGGGTGGGGTGGGGCATGTGTTAACGTTCATGTGAACTTGCTAGGGAAGTGGACTCGTCTCTGTGTGTGCCGTTATGTGCGTGTAGACATGGGTGGGGTGGGGTGGGGTGGGGCATGTGTTAACGTTCATGTGAACTTGCTAGGTAAGTGGACTCGTCTCTGTGTGTGCCGTTATGTGCGTGTAGACATGGGTGGGGTGGGGTGGGGTGGGGTTGGGCATGTGGTAACGTTCATGTGAACTTGCTAGGTAAGTTTTCGGTTGCTTTTAACTGATACGTCATGCTACGCTCGCGTAAGTGCGATCAGTTTCTTTGGTTTCAACATCATTTACTTGTATGAATGCCTGTCTTTGGTTATAGTTAGCTGTTCGATGCAAGTGAAGGTCCGTTGCAAGGTCGTCTGGCAGGTTGTGCCAAATTCATCAATACATAACATGTTGAAATCCAGGTCGGTTGCAAGGTCGTCTGGCAGGCTGTGCCAACTTCATCAATACATAACATGTGGAATTACAAAAAAATGCGTTTTCGCCTAGGCGAAATACTTGTTTTTTCATTTCATGCACCAGAATAAGGGGGTTTCTTGTCTTTGAACTCACATCAAAACAATACAGGTCGAATTAGTTGGGGAGTTCTGAGAAACATCAAAAATGATAGTTTCGCCTAGGCGAAACGCTAGATTTTGATTTTATGCACCAGAATCAGGGTTTTTTCGCCTTTGAAATCACATCAACCAAAATCCTATTGGCACGACCACATCAAACATCATCCATGACACCCCGTTGATCACAAAAACACCACGGCCAGATAAAGGCCGTGTTCCTATTAGTAAATTATATACAATATTATATTATATATAGATAATAGAGAGGCCCCAACTTCTCCGATGGGGTGGGGTGGGGTGGGGTGGGGTGGGGTGGAGTGGGGAGGGCTTGGGTAGGGTAATAACGTTCAAGTGCACTTGAATTGGAGAAGTTCAAGACAAATGGAGACTTGAGCAACACAACTAGTTCAGATACATCACCAAACATATGGGGAGTTCATCTGCGCAAAAAATAAGGGATTCGCCTGCGAAAATACTGTTGAAGGGTTGGAGTCAAAATTTGAGGTGACCGGAGCAGAACTGGACTGCTCCCGGCAAGAAAGGCAATCCATTCCTTCTACATTGGCAGCAGTCAACAAGGAAATCTGGATGGATTACCCAGCCTGAAGCATAATAACATTTGGGTCAGGTCGGCAGTGAGGCCGCTGTATACCGGTTGAGTTGTAGGGCCGAAAATCCTGAAAAACAAGGTGCAACAAGATTGGAGGGAAACCATGAGGCTTTCAGTGATCTCCTACCCATGAAAAGAAAAATACCGGTACTACTGACTACAAAGTTGCCATGATAGTGGAGGAACTATTCATACATGGTCACTTGCACCCTCACAAATCCAATGGGACTGTTTCTGGCTCCGGCTCCAAACCCACAGGTGATTTAACCCAATCCAAAAATATGCGTGTCAACTGCAACAATCTCCTATTCGTAGGTGTGTAACGGTAGCTAGAATACGTGGAATCACCAGGCAACAGATAGATTCCCACTTGGGTTGGGTGACATGGTTGTTAAACAAACTGTTTCTTTGGTCACTGAATCCGAATATTAAATATTGTTTTGTTTGCAGATGGAAAAAAATATCCTAGCCGTGTCTGAGATGGAACAGTGACCTGGCCAGCGAGAGTGTGACAACATGTGACAGCCCTTTCAGCGACCTATCCGGTAGGTTTTCCCAGTTTCATGGCAAGTATAATGTGCCATAAAATGTGGTGTTTGCTACGAGTACTTGCTTCCAAAACAAACTGCGATTCTGACACGGCCAACCGCAGCAATATCCTATCTGTTTGAGTGGGATATGAACTTGTCCTTCCCAGAATTGTGTGAAGGAACCACAAACCCTGATCAAGTTTGAGTTAAAAAGTACATCTTTACCGTAGATTTGCACAACAAAACCCAATCCTTCAACAGAACGGCTGAAAAACCGTAAAAGGGTACCTCATTCCATCTACTGTTTGATCATCATTTTCCCTATTCTGCAATGGTCATAACTGGCGTGTATATACCATTTTCAGACGCACTCTATTATCATATCAAATTGATGAAATTCCCATGATCATTGCCATGGTTCACCTATTATATACCCATGGCCCATGATATCCCATAACCTACGGACAATGTTCAAAAAGAATCAAGGATATCTGGGGATATCACAAGGTATTATCCCCACAACGGGCTATTGTCCACCCCTTGAATCCAGTAATATCCCATTAAATCCTACTGAAGACCCTTCCATGAAATCTCATTAAATCCATGATATCACCTTCTGAAATCGGACGAAATCCTCCAATTTGGGATCCCAAAATACCCTCGAAAAAAAAGTTTCCAACCGCGTTTCACGACGTTAAGCACTAAGGAAGCCACTGGGAGCTGATGTGGCAGCTGATCCACCTGTGGGGCTGCCCCAAAAACCATGGGTGAGAACTGGGGGTAACCCCCATGACTATGGAAACCTCCATACCAGTAGTACCGCACAAGGCGGTGGCGGAAACTTCAAAGATAGGAAACCTATAGGAAAGTTGTTGTGATGCATGGATGGCAGAGCGAATCCACTGATGAACCGGAAGGTGGTTGTGATTATTGGAGTGGTTGCAATGATCACCTCACCCACAATTGCAAGATGTAGTGCGGTGTAGCGACGTGCAATGTAATCGCAGCCGTAGTTGTAGCAGTTGTAGTTGCAGCTGTAATGCAGTTGATGTTGTTGAAGTTGCTGAAGTTGTAATGTTGTAGTTGTAGGAGTTGTAGTTGTAGTTGTAGTGTAGTTAAATAGTTGAAATTGTAGCTGTAGTAATTGTAGTAGTTGTAGTTGTAGTTGTAGCTGTAGTGCGGTGGAGCTGCTGTAGTGCAGTTGACATTGAAAGTGTAGTTGCAGCTGTAGTTCTAGTGGAGTCAACTGGTAGTGTTTAGACATAGCTGTAGCGTAATGGAGGTTGAAGCTGTAGTTGTATATAGCTGTAGTGTCGTGTAGGTGTGCTTGTAGTTGTGACTTAGTGTAGTCAAGTGTAGTGGTAGCTGTAGTTGTAGCGTAGTTGTAGCTGTAGTTGTAGTGTAGTTGTAGTTTAGATGAAATTGTAGTTGTAGTTGAAGTCGTAGTTGCAGTTGCAGTTGTAGTAGTTGCGGTTGCAGTTGTAGTTGTAGTTGTAGTTGTAGTTGTAGTTGTAGTGGTGGTTGTTGTAGTAGTTTAGTTGTAGTAGTTTAGTTGTAGTAGTTTCTAGTAGTTTAGCTGTAGTGTTGTGTAATGGCATTTGTAGTTATAGTTGAAGTTGTCGTAGTTGTAGTTGTAGTAGTTAAAGTGAAGTTGAAGTTGTAATGTAGTTGTAGCGTCGTTGTTTTGTTAGTTGCGGTCGTAGGTGTTTTTGTAGTTGTAGCGTAATGTAGATGCAGTTGTCTATCTATCTGTCTATCTATATATATGTTTATCTATCTGTCTATCTGTCTATCTGTTTATCTCTCTATCTGGCTGCCTGTCTATCTAGCCATCTTTCTGTCTATCTATCTATCTACCTGTCTATCTGCAAGCTTCAAAACGAAGCAATTCTGCGAGACTTCCTCAACTTTTGAACTTAACAACATCAAAACCGAAACAATTCTGCGAGACTTCCTCAATTTTCGAAGTTGAGAACATCAAAAACAAAGCAATTCTGCGAGACATCCTTCAAAAAATGGAAAGTTGAGTGCAGAGCTGACGGCCTCGTACCAATGCGTTTTGCGATTTTTCCACTCCATCTGTGTCAAGTGCTGCGCCTGCCACGCAAAAGTGATGCCAGGCAATACGAAGTGCAGCGCCTGTCACGCAAAATTAACTTAGCAAACCTGATGATCTGATGCTCCAAAATGCAACCCCTCTCAGGAAATCAGCGCCCAGACCTCCGGATATCTCTGATGCACGTGTCTCTGGTACTGCGCCTGCCACGCGAAATGCATCTGTCCAGATCCTCTTCAAATGTCCCACGTTTGTGGAAACGCTACAAGCCCCTCACATTTTGGCAAGGTGCAGAATCCCTTGCGCCTGCCACGCAAAACCACATCTGAACCTTCAAAAGTGGTCTGAGCATGTAATGTTTTTAAGGTGTTGACTTGGAAATGGGCTTCGCACCACAACGGCGTGCACTTTTTCGACATCTCAACTTCCAAAAGTGCTTCGACGTTGGTGTGCTTTGTACATTTTGACTTGGACATGTGCTTTGCGCAACAACGGCGCGCACTTTTCTACATCGCAACTTCCAAAAGTGCTCCGAACGTGAAGCGATTTTAGCTTTTCACTTGCAAACGTGCTTCGCGCCACAACGGCGTGCAATTTTTCATTTCTCTTCCGACCAGCTGGCTCCGCACCCGCCGCTTTAGCGCCCTCCGGAGCCACAAATCATTGGAAAAACACAATGAATCGCGACTTTTCTGCCTTTTCCCGCGCCTGCATCTTCTTTCTTCTGACTCTTTCTCTTCTCTGATCTTCTCTCTTTTCTCTTCTCTTCTCTGACTCTTCCCACCGCTGCTTTTCCATCTGTCCATATTGTCGGAAGTTTGACTTCTAAACTTCCTTCGATTAGATCATATTAGGTCAAAAGCCGTGAAAATTTGAGAAGCTGAAACGATTTTGAACATATGAGTTAAGCAACAAAAAATGGAGATTTAACAAAACATGAACAAACTCATATGTTCAAAATCTTTCCAGGTTCCACACGTTCCAACGGTTTTGGAATTAGTATGAATTAAGCAACAAAAATGTAGGTTTAGCTGTGATGTGGTTGGGAAAGTCTCATTGAAGCTCCCACTGGCTCCCCATGGCTGCTGGGAATATGGATGCATCTGATTCCCGTAGCTCGGCTAACTGCTCCCTCACCACTGGATACTTACCCTCTGGTAAACTAACATAGCTATTGAAAATGGCCATTTATAGTGGATTTTCCCATAAAAAATGTGATTTTCCATATGTTAGTTTACCAGAGGGTAACCAACCCAAATGGAGATGTAGCCTCCGCTGTCATCAAACATAGCTTGCTGGAAAATTCCCCATGAAATGTGCGATAATTTTTCCCATGAAATTCTCCGTTTACTTCAGGGATTTCCCGGCCCGCCACGTTTGATTGCGGAGATATTCCCATTGTATCCCAATCATGCATGAAAAATCTCATTCAACAGATATTATCATATATTATCCCTAGAAAATCAGAATATATATATATCAGATATATATCAGATATAAATCCCTATAGAAACCCTACAAAAACCCCATGTAAACCCCCATGAAATCCCAAAGATTTCACCCAGGATCAACCCGGCCGCCTCTGAGATGCGCGAGTCATGGGACGCCTGCGAGATCCCTGCGGCGCTGGTGTGGGACTCCCGGATTTTCGGTGGACCAAAAGCACCAAGAAATGATGGAATTTGGGAGTTAGGATTTGAATACCTTTTAATAAATTTAATGAGACCAAAAACTCAGAAAAACTCAGAGTGAAAAAAGGATTTAAATATCATGTTTTCATCTGTTTTCCTGTTACCTTAAATAAAATTTATCTGGCCTTGAGATCATAAATGGGAAGCCGGAAAGCCAAGATGGCACGGACCAGGCCCTGAGACTCCCCACGGGGTCTAATCTGCTCCACTCCCCTGGCGCAATCGGCTGACATGATGCAGGATCTAAGAAAGGTGGGTTTGATCAGGGATCAAAACCTGGTATTCATTTTATGGTTGGATGGTATCCCTGATCAACTTTTAGTATGGTTTTTGGTATGGTGATATGACAAACTCAAAATATATGCTGAACATCATTAATATACATAGGGATCATCAATGATGGATGACAACATGAGGTTGTGATGTTTTATGTTCATCCATCTCAGAATGGGAATCCTAACATCATGGCTATTGAACTCCAAGAACTGAGGAAAAAAAACGACTAACTTGACCATGGCAGGTCTTCGTATGTCTTAAGGTCATGGGTTTTTGTACCCGCCGTGACCGTTGCTTCTAAACCGTTGCTGGTTGAGATGAAATCCAGGAGACGTCACCGACGAGACAGATAAAAATGGACCAGCCGTGTGAAGTCAATAAGCCATGCGTAAACATTCTGCAGCTCCCACGTGAATTCGATCATCTATCTCCATTCATAACCCATAGATCCAACGTTTTCTGGAAAACATGGAGGAAACATCATCAAACTATATCAAACTTCCATCCCGGAAAAGCTCTTGTCCTATCTTTTTTGGGACCGATATGTAGCCATAAAGGCCAGATCTTTGTCATGATTTTCCGCTCAAACAACTTGGGGTTTTCCAGTGCCATTTCTAGCTTCGGCAATGGGCAGTGTTCAAAACCCTTTTGTCGCGCCTTTTGTGGTCAGTTACTGCCAGTCGGCTGGTGCAAACTGTCAGCAGAAAGAAACCGCAGCTAGAAGCTACCTCTGGCTATGCCAGAACTTGTGAAGACCCTGCTCCGAGGGGTTTGCCTTGTGGATTGGCTGAACCGCCTCCGCTGGGCCACATTGATGTAGAGTGGTCATCTTGGTGATTTTGGCATCACCATACTTCGCATCAAGCCATCCCCGCACGGCGTCCGCTGAAGCATCTGATACTCTACACAAGATTCCCATAGTCCAGCAATGGAACCTCGGGTTTGATGGCCTTCCATCGACCGGTTTGTACTGAGGGTGGCTCACTCGAATGATGTTCAGCAAATACGCTGCCCAGGATCGCAGCATCTGCTTGCCATTGTATTCCTGCAACCGAGGATGCATGCGCCAGGTGTTATGGCTCGAAGTACTCTCTGGCCCCCATTCCCCTGCATGAAGCTGAAATGAAACCAAGAGCTCGTACCAGCTCAGCCAACGCGGCGCAGCGGAAGGGTTCTCCAGATCAGCCATCCAATCCAAAATCTTCAACCATCGCTGAAAACGCAAGTTGTCAGGTGCCTCTGCTCGTGCTTTCTCTGCAATGGAGCGCCAATCAAGGATCATGGTATCTGGAAGGCGATACACCGGGGCCGGTGCAGATTGGGGGGCCGTCACTGAAAGCTGAGCAACCCTCACCATATGTGCGTGCACCTGTTGAACCACTTCTCTGGCTGACGTCACCGCTGCAGATGCACGTTGTTGTGCTTGACGAACTTGGAGTGGCAACTGGTCCAATGCCCATGCGGCTAGGAGGTCTGCTGTGTCATTGGCTGAGCAGGCCCATTGGATCCATGCTTCATCCCTGCCATAGCTCTGGTGCGACTTGATGTGGTGAATGTTGCATACATGGGCTGGTGGTATCTGATCTTGTACAATCCTCCATAAATCATGGTCTGTGCATGTGGATGTGACCTCGAATAACCCCAGCTGGATGCGTCTGGCTCGCTTGACGATGACTTCGCTGTCGCTCCAAATTGCAAAGGTGGTACCTCTGGCAACCCCGAAGCAGAGAGCTGAGACAAAAGACATGAGCTCTGCCCGCATGACCGTTTGCCACTGGCCTGGTACTCCTCCCCATGATAGAGGCATGTGGGGAGCTTGAGGGTCTGCTCCCGCGACAACGACTGCCCATGCTACAAGTCGTGTAGTAGGCTGTTTTGGGTCCAAGCCTGTCCCATCGCAGAACAGGTCATAGTGCTCTTGGTGTGCACAGCTGGCGTATCTCCCACATGTGTCTGGGACATCTGCCAAACTCCTTTTGAACTCACGCACTTCCACAGGCTCAGGCATCCAGCCATGCTCTCGTAAGCAGGGATCCATGGCGTCAATCTTCGCTTGGATGTTTTGAGGAATGAGAGCTCTGCTCGGGGCTGTAGCTGCACACTTCCAATGTCTGTGTTCCACTGAGTCTTCCTCCGAACATCTGGAGCACTGTGACGACTCAGTGAAACCTGAATGTTTGAGACAATCGGCAGTGTAAAATGCCCCTGTTTGAGCCACTTGCAGGAAGCCTACTGCATCTGGTGGGTGCTTTGTGGTGTCAATGCGTGAAAGAGCTGGACAGACAAACCTGAGACCCTGAAACCCTTTCCTGTGCTCCCATCGACGACCAACTGCATGATGCCATGCTCGGCACAAGCGAGCCTTGAGCTCTTGCCTTGGAGTGTGAAGTATGTGTACTGTACCTCCTTCTCCATCTCGGAAGACTCCATTGGTCACATACGTCCAGCACATGTCTTCTAGCCTGGAAATAAGCACTCCTCCTGGCCCTGGCTTTCTCTTGCGTGGGGGGGTCACTGCTGCCTGCTGAAGCGTGACGTCTAACATGTCTTCCTCAATGTGTCGTCTGAACTGTGTCACTGAATTCCACAAAGCATAGAATTCGGGATCTGTCCCCACATTGGCAACCAATGCCAGAAAAATTTGTGCGTTGGCACCAGAGTTCTGCATTCCGATGGCTTTGAATGCACCTGCTCTGGCCTCATCAAAGTGGGCTGGGCCAATGTGAACTATGGACCCGGAGTAGAGTACCCTGGGCCATGCCACCACTCTGAGCACTTTGAGTTTCTGGGCTTGGGGTGCATGACTTCTAGAAAGCTTGTGCCACAGCTCCGGCAACTGCTTAAACTTTGCCAACACCGTTCCATTGGTCTGGTTTCCAGTGTACTGCATATGCGCCCCAAGGTCCTTGGCCGATCTCACTGGGATGTCATTGTGGGCTCTAAGGTGTGCACGGCCGGTGGCATCACATGACCAGTGGTACGTTTTGCGTGCATCCAGCTGCACATCCAATAGATCACAAAACCCCTGAAGGGATGTCAGGGCCTGCTTGGTCTGCTCAGCTGAGGGGGACTGGAGCTCATAGTTGTCAACATATGTGGTAAAAACGGCTTGAGGGTGTTGGTGCTGCATGTACGCATGTACCAGGGCATTGATCAGGACCATCCCAACTACACTCATGCCGCATCCTTCAACAAAGCCCGTGGTGGAGGTGACTTGGGCTGAAGGGCAGTCACGCACCACGAAGTGCCTCTGCAGATGTACTGTGGATGCGGCCCATGCACGGACAATGTTGGGATGGACTCCCAACGACAGGGCGGCTTGAAATGTCACTGTGCGTGGTAAGTGATTGAATGCCTTGCACAGGTCTGACACTGCTCCAGTCAAAGGCTCACCTGCATACATGGCCTGTTCTATCCTGTGCTGCAGCGTCCACCACAAACCAACTGCCTGCTTGCCCGGCACATTTCCTAACAATGTGGGTGGCAGTACCTTGGCCAAATGTTGCAGGACTTCTCGGGCTCTGATGGAGGAGTATGTGCGATATGCGCATGGCATTATCGTTATTGGTCTATACTGCGACACATGCTCTGCATTTGCTGTTTTCTCTAACGCGTGGACTGCCCCTTGGAGCAATTGCTGGGGCCATTTCCCATTGTTCTCGGCTGTTGCAAAGAGTTCCAGCAATTGTTCATGCAAAATGTCTGGGAATGATAACAGATCTCGCCTGGCCAATCCATCGAGTCCTGTGGCGGCAGAGGACTTTTTGGATCTCAGGGCGTGTTTCCACCTGTCTAGGGTGATGGGGGCCAGTGGCATCTGGTCGGCATGCAGGATTGTTTTGGTGAGGGCTAAGACCTCCTCCCAGTGGTCTGGGGGCAAATGCCTGTGCCGGTCCCAACGCCTAGTCCATTCCTGGAGGAATGCCGTGTGAACATCTTGGACCCTGCCCTGCAACTCAACTACGGCTACCTCGTCACCTGGGACTAGGGTGTGAGGTGATGTGAACCAGATCTGGTTGGCCTCTATATGTATCACCTGAAGTGGACCTGTTCTGGTTTCCAGAACTGCAGCCTCTTGAATAGGGTCGGAGTCGGCAACCTCTACTGACCCTTCGTCGACTACCGCAGTCACTTGTGTGGAGGATTTGGCCACCAACATACTGACTGGGACCGGCATGGGGCGTCGGACGTCCTTGAATACCCGATTGGTGTCAGCAATGCGGTTTTGCCGAGCCTGTGCCACACGTTGTTTGATGATGCGGGTCTCCATAGAAGAAAGGATTGCCTGAAATTGCACACTGATGTGATTGGCGATGTCGGGTCCCGGAGGTTCCATAGGGATCCATGGGATTTGATTGGGGTGGTCCGCTGCCTGAGTTCCCCACCAGCACGGGAAACCTCCATGGAAGCCCAGCGCATTCCGAATGGCTCTCCACAACGCAGCCCTGTGTTCAATAGCAGTGGGTGTTTGGCTTCCTTTAGCTATGTGCTTTGCATAACTTTGGAGACGTCGGCACTGGGTGATCCATCGGCTGTGCAGCAGAGACCATGTATGTACTGTGGGGTGGTAGTCCCCTTGCCTCGCAGGCTTCGCTGGTGAGACTACTGCCCTTTTGAAAGTTCTCTGCATCGTTTGTCCTCTGCCGCACTGGCTGTGCTGAAGCCCGACCTTGCCCTTGGCTTTGAGGCAATCATGAACATGCTTTTCAAAGTGGTTACAAATGGCAGCATACTGCATGGTCGGGTCCTCATGGGACGGGGCTGGGGTACATGGCTGTGCTGCAATTACTTTACTGTCCAACTGGCTGTAGTCAATTGCGGCTGGCTTGACCCATCGTGGCAAGGGTTCCGGGTTGCTTGGGATGCTAAAGAGACCCATGAGAGTCGAGTGGTCTGGCCATCGGTCAAATGAGTTTGAACAACTTGACAGCAGGATTTGCAGTTCTGGGGAAAGGTACACAAAATCTTTCCTAGTAGTGAACTGGAAGGTAACCCCTGGATTGATCCCATATTTCTCTGCCGCCCATGTCTGGACGTCCCTCCATCCTTGCTGTTCCCATTTGACTGTCTCATGCAAAACCCCTGGCACTTGGTTAAAGTCTCCTGCGATGAATGCAGGCCCTTTAAACCCTTGCATGACCTGCCTTGCGACCTCTTGCAATAGGCGGTTCGTGTTATCCTGAACTGCCGGGGAGTCAGAGTCTTTTGCATACCCATAGCAGACCCCTCCCGCAACCCATGTGTTATGAACCAGGAAGACTGCTGCATGGATACGGCTAGTCTGGTAGAGTTCTTCATTCTATCCACTTACAATCGGCCTCGTGGGAAAGTGAGTGAGAAAAGCAACCCCGGTATGTTTGCCCCCAACTGCTTGAATGGAATCTTTCTTGAGAGGAGCTCTATACCCTGGATACAGCTTGAGCATATTCTTGGCATGAAACAGCTCTTCTCGGAATCTTACCTGTCCACGTTCCGACAAATGTGTCTCGGAGATGGCATAAATTCCTGCTGGCAGGTCGCTGAACTGCTTGGCTTTGCCTGCAAGACCTGTTGGGTTGATGGCAGCGATGGCCCATCCTTCCTTGGTCGGCTGAGCTGGGCCTGGTTTGGATGCTTCTCCTACTCTTTGACGGCTGAGAAAAGACTTACTACCTGCCTTGGGTATTCCACCTGACTGTAGGGGTCGGGACACTGCAGTGCCAAGGATGGATGTACCCACAACCCTGACTTGTGGTAGTGGAGGAAAAGATACTCTACCTGGCCGAAGGAGTTGGCTTTCGCTACCCTTCTGGGTATCTGGGGGCTTCTGGCTGAGTTGATCACCTCTGGGCATGGCTGTGTGTGACGTGACTGAGGTGCGACACTTGCGTTGCCCACTGGTATTTCCCCTGGACCCTCTTGGGATGTGGCATGTTCCCCATGGATGGGGGCCTGCAGGAGTGATGCAGGCACCCCCCAGGTGGAAGGCATTATGGTCACCCGGAGTAGCCTTCATTCCGGGAACAACAGTCTGGGATGGTCTGTGGACCTGAATCCGTTGGAGGAGCTCCACTCGGTCCTCCTCTGGCTCTGCGTCAGCCGCTGCGGTGTCAACTGTGAGGATCTGGTAGGGATTGGGCATGCTCCATAAGTTATATTCTTCAACCAGGTCTCCAAAGAATGCAAAGAACTCCTGTCCAATTCCCTGATAACAAGCCATGGCTACGCACCGAGTTGGTATGGTTTCATCCTCCTGGTTGGGCGGTGGCAAGACCACACGTATGTATGATCCATCTGTGATCTGCATGGTTGTTTCCAGGTCAAGGTTGATTCTCTGGTCACGCAACAGCAAAATGCAGGGCCTGCGGCTGTATCTACAGTATGGCATGAGGTGCATTGATTCCATGAATTGGTGGTTCGTCACTTGCCGGGGCACAAACATGGCTGCACGGATTATTTCCGGATCCCACCGTGGCGCTGGTGGGTGAAATTCCACATCTATGAGTGCCATCGCAAGTGCTCCTCCTTCTGGAGGATCTTCATGAAATCTGGCCAACAATCCTCGCATTCTGGCGTGCTGAAGGTCACTGGGGCATGGCGTGACCTGGTACCTGGCGCTCAGCTGTTCCACGGTCCATCCAAGTGCCCTTGCACACTGATAATGCTGGAGTCGATCCCGTACCATGATGAGGTTCACCTGCAGTGGTGGTTGATGTACTGTGTAGACATAGAAAACTCTCCATGCCGGGTTTTCATCACTGGTGGTGGATTCGTCATCAGATGTCGCGATGGCAGGATCATCATCATCCCCATGCTCTTGGGTAGCGATTCTTGGATCATCCATGATCTGCAGTGGCTGGGATGATTCTACTCTACTGGGCGGAACTTGCACCCCCATGGCCATGAAAACATTTTCATCACCTTCCACTACCTCATGCGACCTAGGGTCCTGGGACATGAACTCGGCAGGGGCATGGCCTGCCCCCTGATGGCTGTTTTTGTTTCCTCCTCTCACTCGGGGTTCTTGCGGCCCCACCGCTGGCTGTTTGTCAGGTCCTGGCGTCCTGCACGCTGACTGTTTGTTGGTCCACCCGCTTTTCTTTTCTTCTGGGTTCTTGCGTCCCGACCGCTGGCTGTTTGATTCCTCGTTTGATTTCACTGGACCTCGACAGGTGCGAGATCGGTCACCGGTGTTGGAAACCGGGGCAACTAGATGAGGTACCGAGACCACCCCACACCCTTTTTCCCGACCCTTTGTCTGGTCCGGACCAAAAGGACTAAGCCTCTCTTCTGACTGCAAGAGGCATTCCTTCAGGTGGGCATTCTGGTGACCCGGAGTGGCCCACATTCCGGGGCATACTGGCATGGTGAAATGCCCGCCCAAGAGGGGTTCTTGCGGCCCCACCGCTGGCTGTTTGTCAGGTCCTGGCGTCCTGCACGCTGGCTGTTTGTTGGTCAACCCGCTTCTCTTTTCTTCTGGGTTTTTGCGTCCCGACCGCTGGCTGTTTAATTGTTCTTTTGAAGCCTCAGGACCTCGACTTGTGCAAGATCGGTCACCAGTGTAGGACACCGGGGCATTTGGGTAATATACCAGAACGACATTGCAACCTGTGACCTGACCTTTTGCCCAGACTGAGTCAAAAGGCATCTGCCCCTTGTCATGTTGCAAGAGGCCTTCCGTTGGGTGGGCATTCTTGTGACCCGGAGTGGCCCACATTCCGGGGCGAAGGTGCCCCTGGTGAGCTCCAGTGTGTGTTCCTGACATCAGATCCCCGAAAAGGATGTTGCACAGCCGCGATGGGGTGTGGTTGAGGGCTAGTGCCTGCTTGTGGCCTGCTGGTGGCAGCCACTTACTGCTTTGGCTTCGCCAGGATCGGCCTAGGTGCCACGACCAACACTGCTGGGTGATGGTATTCTGTTCATGGTGCTTTCCTCGTTCAAAATGAACTCCAATGTTGAGGTGCATGAATTGGATTGGTGACTCACAACACTGCTGAATGGCTGGGATGCTGCCATGTGGATCCTGGTGCAAGCCTTCCCTTGCCTGGGCATTCTGGTAACCCGGAGTGGCCCAAATTCCGGGGCAAAAGGGCGGGTGGTTTGCTCCACTACGCTCCCTTAGCGTCGGACCTTCTATATGGGGACTACATGTCTGTGCTTCCTGGGCATTCTGGTCACCCGGAGTTGCCCAGATTCCGGGATTGGATGTAGACAGGTTTGGGAAAAATTGATAGCTAGGATGGCTACCGAGATGGACTGAATGTGCTTTTGTTGGAGACCTGTTGGCAGGGTCAAGTGCCGTAAACAAAATTGCACTAAGGCTACGGCTGAGTTCTGATGGAAGACCTCTGGCAGTCATCTGCTTCTCTCCCTGTCTTCGCACGGTAGGGCTTGGGTGAAACCAAATCCCCTGCCTAATTGCATCATGATGGTCTTGGCATTGTTCTTGGTGCTGCTCCTGTTCAAAAGGAACTCCAATGGTCGGCTGCATGAATTGGCCTTGTGATACGCACAACTGCTTGGTGGCTGGGACAATGCTGAATGCATACTGTCGGGAACTTTCACTTTCCTGGGCATTCTGGTAACCCGGAGTGGCCCAGATTCCGGGGCAACGGCACTGGTGGTGTGCTCCCCTCCTCTCCCCTGGCATCTGGCCATCGAGATGGCATGGACAGGTCTGTGCATCTTGGCCCTGCTGGTCATCCGGAGTTTCCCAGATTCTGGGAACATAAGCAGAAAAATTGTTTGGGAAAAATCGATGCAACGGATGGCTCCCGTGCGAGTCTGAATGAACCTCCGTAGATGACTTCCTGTCCCCATGCATGTCATGGTGAAACAAAATTGAGGTACGTCTGCAGCTGATTGCTGGTGGAAGGCCTTTTGCCATCACCTGCTTCCCTCCTTGGCTTCGCATGGTGGGGCTTGAGCAAAACGACCTACCCTGCAGGGTGCTTGCATACTGTGCTTGGTTGCACCACTGTTCGAATTGAGCACCGTTGGTGGATGGCATGACTTGGATTGGTGATACACTTACCTGCTTGATGGCTGATGGAGTCCGGGGGGCATGCATTGCATTGGAACAGTCAATCAGACGTTTCTCATCAGGCTGGATTGCATGGGTCTGGACTTCGCAAGACCCTGGGCTTGTCCGACATGGATGTTCCATGTCTGCACGATACGGAGTGACCTTGGGGACCACATGTTTGGGCACCTGGCATGAGTCAAAATTGATGCCAACCGTTTCCGAGCCACTGAGATGCTCAAGTAGGTAGTCACTGCGCTGCTCATGGTTGTCCGGCTGTTGGCAATGGCCAGACGGGCATGGATACTTGAACTGAATTGGTGACGCACAAAATTGCCTCGTGGTTGAGGGATCACATGACTCCTTCACACTTGATCTGCTGACCTGCAAGGAATTTTCAACTGTCAGAGGAGCCGGACCCTTGACTTCGCACAAGCCCATACTTGTCCCCCAACAGTCCGTCCTGTCTGCATGGCTGGTGATGTACTGTGAGAAAACTGGCTCCACCACCTTGGATTGCGCAAAATTGGTGGCTTCTGTACCATAACCATTGGCTGCCACTGGGAAAACACAAAGGAACACCCATAAAATTCGGAGCATAAAGGGCGTCATGGAGTGGTGGAGTCTCCACCGCCCACCCCGTCATTCATGAGAACGTGCTCGCTTGGTCATCAGCATCTCGATGCGATGCATTTGCTCCTGGAGTTTGGAATCGAGGGATGATTCAAACTTGGCAGCCTGGTGTTCGACCTGCTGATGCAGGTAGTCAACCTTTCCGTCCAACTGCACCGAATGTTTTTGCAGCTGCGCCATCTGTTGCTCCAACGCTTGGATGCGTGGCTCAATCGAGGGACCCATCTGCTCATCCTGGTCGGCCAAACGGCTCTCCAGTTGTTGGGAAATCCTGTGGTCAATTGATGCCTCCAGAGAGGAAATCTGGGCTGCTGTCACCTCAGGTTTGCGACTGAGCTTCTGTGCCGACTCCGCCCATGGGTCGTTGACGAAGACCTCATCTTGCTGTTGAGCCCGGAGCTCCTTCCTGGATGCCTGTGCTTGAGGAGGCCGCCATGTCTCCTTGGAGGTTTGAGGGTCTTGATGGATGATGACATCGCCATGCTGCAACTGGTAGACCAGATGTCCTGGCGGGGAGTTGGCATGCACCAACCACATCAGACCACTGGAATCCTTGGCTTTTGCCACGGAATGCACTGCCTTGGCTACCCAACCCCACTGCTGAAAAAGCTGCTGGATGGCTTTCTTTGTTGTGCCCCATGGGAATGGACCAACTCTGTATGAGGATCTGCTGGGCCCAGCAATGAATGGTGTTCCAGGGCTTACCTTCTCATGGAGAGCGGCTGCATCGGAGACCGGGACCTTGAATCCATACCGGGCACCTACCCTGATAAGGGACACTTGGGTCTCCATCATCGATTGGAGTGCAACAATCTCACTGTGCGGCTTGCGGGGAATCCAAACCGTGTGATACGCTGCATCTTGTGACCTGCCGTCATCCATGCGAGGCTCAAAGTAGATGCCGGCACCTCCAGACTTATGATACAGCTGCTGAAAGATGGTCACTGGGACTCGGATGGCCACAGCGTAGATTTGGGCTTCGGTGGCCTTGGTCTTTTGGAAGTGCAGCGTGAGATAATCTCTCTGCCACACATCGAGTATGGGAGAATCGTTGGCTTGCTCCTGTGGGTGCCAACGGTTGCACTTACAAGTGGGTTCTTTGCACACCTGCATCTCCTCAATCTGGCTGATGATGTATTTAACCGGATGTTTAACCACAGCATCCCAGTCCGGGGTTTGGTCTCTGTACACCAGCACCTTGAGCGTCTGGGTAGCGATCTGGTCAATGGCTGGTGCTTGCTGCGGCACATTTCGCACTATTCGGGCTTGCCCTTTCTGGATCAGAACTGCGGACACCAGTAATGGCTCACCTGTGATTTTGCTTTGGACTGGGAAACGGTGAACCTCTCCTTGTGCTGCCAATTCTGCCGAATACGGCGACAAAACCAAGAAACCAAGGCCGTGACTGGAGCTTACCGGATGCTTGAGATAGGGTTGGACTTCTTCCTCCGTGAACACCACTACTCCCTGAGCAGATTGGCCGATTTGTTTGACGCTCAACTGTGCGATCATGTCACCTGACTCCACACGGAAAATACCGTTTGGGATGCTGATGTCCTGTGGATGCAAATGCATTGGCGGTGCCTGCTTTCCCTTGGATGACCCTTTGGCTTGAACTGATCCTTTGTGCTTGGTGCGAGCTCGAATGGTCGCCTGCAGTTCATCTTCAAGCACCAGACGAATGGATGGCGTGTGGCTGGTTGCCAATTGCTTGAGCTGTTGCCAAGGGCGGCTTGCATTGAAAACTCCTACCAATGCTTGATGGGAAATTGCTTTCAAGACCATTGCCGCCCTAGCCTGAACCCGATCCGGAAAGACACCATGTTCACGCAAGATGGCCTGCAAAGCGGTTTCTACCTCCGACTGTCCACCTAGCAAGATGTGTGTCTTCGCTGGTTTGGAGATGAGTGTTTGTTGCCAGTACAGCTGTCTCCATCCGGCTGCATCGGTGGCGGTCAATGACGATCCTTCAAAGTGGGTACACTGGCTGATCAACCATGCAAAAGCCTGAAACCCGCAGTCCTCAGTGAATGTGGATTTGAATGCTGAGTGGACATGTACCGCGCCTTCCCAGTTTGGAAACAACATCTTCCAAAGCTGGATCCCTTCATCAGTGGTGTGGATTGCATACATGTGAGTGCCTGGGACCAACCACACTGGAATCCAATGGAAATTGACCCACATCATTGTGGCGATGGCTTCAATGGGCAATTCCGCCCACCAGGACGTGGCAACTGATTGCATACCTTGGACATGCTGTTCCATGTAGCTTTCCAGGTCCCCTAGCCATGCCTCGGCCTCTGTGTGCAAATCCGTAAGGGAGTGCAGGATCAATGGATTCCATGACTTGGCTACCCCAACAGTATCGATTGCACTGAGATAGTAACGCATTTCATCTAGAGCTACTGCCCCACCCTGCAACAAGATGGACTCATGACGTGGCATGGAATACAACCTGTTCGCCCTGTCCTGAATGGATGTGACCTGGGCCGGCAATGGCGACTGGCTGACAATGATCCACTTCAGGGTGCTGAGCTTCATTTCTCCTTGCAGCGGCTGGCCAGCTAGGTCTGTGAAATATGGGTATTGAACATCCATGGAATGAAGGCCTTGAAACCATTCAGCAACCGTTGCATCACCTGAAAACTCATGGCGACAGATTTGATGGGTGTCTGCGTCATACACAAGCAGGCCTGGGCGCAACACGTCAGACATCGGGAAACACACCTCAGGTGGACATGTTATTCCTGCCTTGGCTGATGTTGGGACTGGCTTTTTGGGACTCGCCATCACTGTGGCAAATGCTTGGATCGCACCTGTCGCACTGTCCCACATGGGTACACCTGCTCTCACGACCTTGCCTGGATGATGGATTGGCTTGACTGGATGTGACCCGATAGCTTCCTGGGGACTACCTTGCACATGTGCCGAGCTGACATGGATGGCCGGGACAATTGCATCTTCTGCCTCGGATTGGACACAGACCGACAGGGACTTGCTTGGAAAGGGTTCTGGCGGCCCACCCGCTGGCTGTTTGTCAGGTTCTGGCGTCCTGCCCGCTGGCTGTTGATTGGTCAACCCGCTTTTCTTTTCTTCTGGGTCTTTGCGTCCCGACCGCTGGCTGTTTGTCTCCTCTTGAAACCCAACTGGACCTTGACTTGTGCAAGGTCGTTCACTGGTGTTGGAAACCAGGGCAGGTGTGCTCTGACCATTTACTTCATTTTGCTTCTCTTGAGGCTCAAATCCCTTGTGAGTCACTGAGCAGCTCGTCACTGATGATTCTGCCAAAGTTCCATGGCTTGATGTGTCATCCCTTGCAACCCCAGAATTGGCCAATGCATGCGGCCTCTGTGGGAAATGCACTGCCTCACTTGCTTCCCCTCTAGTGTTGACTTGCTTCTCAATGGTATCGATGGCTTTTGCAATATCCTCATCTTGACTCGGGGACAGTTCTCCCACGTTGGCGTGTGGGGCAGCCACCTGGGCTGGTTGCAGAAATTCCTCAATGGACTCCTGAAACATTTCCATTGCGACCGTGGAATGATTGCTGAACCATTGATCCCTCAACTTGAAAACTTCAGCTGCAACACATGCCAAGATTTGCTTGGGAGGAATCATGGGGCCTTCACAAAAACCATGATCAATCAGATGATTCAAGATGGCTGCGAAAATCCATGCTGATTGCAACGGTGATGCGATTTGTCCGACTCCTGCTACCAGCAACCTTTGGTGATCTGACCATCCTTCAGCCTTGGGGAAACCAACCAAAATGGCCATCTCTCTTGCTGACAAATGCCGAACATTCTGATGGAGTGCTTGATTGGGGACATGGGCCAAAACTCCAAACAATCCCTGAGCCTGCAAACGGCTACACGACAGTGGACCCCTGCACCCGCAAGCACAAGCTACGCACTGATTGGCCCAACTGTGCAGTGCTGTGGCCAATGGTTCGGCCAGGTTCAGCATATGCCCTCCAAGCCCTTTGCCATAATTTTCAAACATCCGACGTTCTTCAACTGACAACACCAACTCTTGCAACTCCTGATCAGACATCTGAAGCAACCCTGGCAAGATACTGGCTACCGTGGGTGGTACTGGCAGCTTGGGGAATGGCGGAATGCTGACCCTTCCCATGTAGCTTTTCAGGATGATGGTCCACCACCTGCGCCTTTTGGATGGCCACACATCAGACAACTCGAGCAACGCCTCTGTGCGATCACTGTTGGTGGCCTGCATGTACTGTTGCATGCATTTCATCACAAACGCTGACTGGCTAGCTTCGGGGACGCACTCTGTCACCACCAAATCCAGCTGTAACAAAAAGGCACAGTACAGGCTGTACGGAAGGGATTGCGCCCTGGGGTCATGGCCTTCACGCCTGTCACCCAGCCGTGAAAATGGCTGGCAGCTGAAGCCAAAAGCCATGCTTGCTGCGCCTGGAGCCTTTGCATGAATCTCGGCCACTGTAGCCAGATGGCATATGTCGCCTTGAACCACTTCAGTACCACTGAACTTGACCAAGTGATCACAAAAGGAGGTCATCATGTCATTGTGAACCTGTGTCTTCCAGCCTGCGTGTGCTGCACCTGTGCCTAGGCCTCCCAGCCCTGAGCAGGTTTCAATGAGCTTGAACAGGCTGCTCAAGTCCTTCTCCTTGTGCACCAAGATCTTGGCCTTTTCGTCCACCTTCAAGATCGGTCCTCTGAGATGCGTGAGGGAGCCTGCCAAAACTGTGACCTTGTGAGCACCTGACGGGATGTCTGCCACCAGTCTGAACCGCTGCCCTGAGATCACACCACGGCACATGTGGCCTCGCCCTGTATTGTCCCTGACCTCCACATGAGCGACCAGGGTGATGCGGTCTCCTTCCCTGGAGCTAACCAAGGAAGGTTCATAGTTTGGGAGCCCGCAGAATGGCCCTTCCTTGAGAAGGCTCACTCCCCACTCCATTGCGCCACGGGTGAAAGACGCGCCCAAGCTTTTGTAGGAGCAGCCACGGGGGACTGGCACCCACTTGGGCCGATGGCTAGTGTTCAAAACCCTCTGTCGTCCCGTCTTCTTTCAGGTTGGTTGATAGGACTTCCCATTATGATGAGTTATGATCACTTCGTTAGCATCAATAAACCATTGCAATAACTCCCTACAGTAAATGATTATTATGATTATAGCATATTATAGCATATTATAGCTGGGAAATACTACTATAAATGGTGGTTTAAATATGTTTAAATGGAAATTCATCTGTTGATCAACATGTTTCCGCCCTTGTGACTGGTCAAGGATGTTGCTACAACAGGGGGACCTACAGTGGGAATGTACCCTTCAATAATCAAACGTGGCAAGCTGGAACATCCATCATGTGCTGAATTTCCCAGCAAGCTCAACGTCCGTTTCTAGGTGATTTTCCATGTCAACCACCATTGAGTTCGATGAATTTCCCAGCTATAATAAACCATTATAAACCATGATAAACCAGCTACAATGAACCATAATGGTGATTATAGATGTAAACCATTATGAACCATTATAAACCAGCTAGAAACCTCCATTTCATCCGTGGATTTCCCAGCGCCCTGTGTTTTTCCACGAAAATGATCCAACCAGTTACTTTGCAGATGGAAGAAACGCTGTGATTTCTCACCCACGTGATTTATTGGGATCATCATTGCTAATTGGGATTGGCTGACTGGCTGATATTGGCTGATTGGGATATGATGGGAACATTGCCCTCTGGATCCCTCTGGTAATTTGAGTTACAAATGAGATTTCTCGAGATTTCTCATGGCGGAGCGATGAGATTCCCCACTCGCATTCGCTCTCCAAGATCTGCTGTACCTGCCTGAATCGTTTTCGACATCGAGTTCGGCGGCGGGGAAATCTCGAGTTCTTTTGGAAAATCCTTCTGAAAATCGTCATCGAATGGAATTCTTGATAGGAAAATATAGGAAATCTATCCAATATCTATAGCACACATGGATATAAGGGAGAAAATGTCATCGAATTTCATTTGCTAAAGTTCAGACAAGCAGAGGGTAAGCAGCCCACATGAAAACACAACGCATCAACCACATCCAGCAAACATGTTCTCCCATTTCTCTGTGACATCTAATGCACATTTCTCATCATCTGTCCATCATGCAGGCATTGAGAGCCTTGCTCGGACACCAACTGCGAATGTGAGAAACGGTTTACGTCTCGAGTCTCATCCTGTAAGCAAACCACTTCAAGCCACACGACGCATCAACCAAGCAAACATGTTCTCCCATGTCTCTCTGACAACTACTACACGTTTATCACATTTGTACTACATTTGTCATCATATGTCCATGTACTGACTATTCCCATGTGCAAATCAGACATCTAAGGAGGTCCATCATGCAGGCATTGAGAGCCTTGCTCGGACACCAACTGCGAATGTGAGAAACGGTTTACGTCTCGAGTCTCATCCTGTAAGCAAACCACTTCAAGCCATACGACGCATCAACCAAGCAAACATGTTCTCCCATGTCTCTCTGACAACTACTACACATTTATCACATTTGTACTACATTTGTCATCATATGTCCAGTGTATGGACTATCCCATGTGCAAATCAGACATATAGGAGGCAATCATGCAGGCATTGAGAGCCTTGCTCGGACAGCCAACTGCGAATGTGAGAAACGGTTTAAGTCCGGAGTCTCATCCTGTAAGCAAACCACTTCAAGCCATACGACGCATCAACCAAGGAAACATGTTCTCCCATGTCTCTCTGACAACTACTACACATTTATCACATGTGTCATACATTTGTCATCATATGTCCATGTACTGACCATTCCCATGTGCAAATCAGACATCTAAGGAGGTCCATCACGCAAGCATTGAGAGCCTTGCTCGGACACCAACTGCGAATGTGAGAAACGGTTTACGTCTCGAGTCTCATCCTGTAAGCAAACCACTTAAAGCCATAGAACGCATCAACCAAGCAAACATGTTCTCCCATGTCTCTCTGCCAGCTACTACACTTTTATCACATTTGTCATACATTTGTCATCATATGTCCATGTACTGACTACTCCCATTTGCAAATCAGACATCTAAGGAGGTCCATCATGCAGGCATTGAGAGCCTTGCTCGGACACCAACTGCGAAAGTGAGAAACGGTTTACGTCTCGAGTCTCATCCTGTAAGCAAACCACTTCAAGCCATACGACGCATCAACCAAGCAAACATGTTCTCCCATGTCTCTCTGCCAGCTACTACACTTTTATCACATGTGTCATACATTTGTCATCATAGGTCCATATACTGACCATTCCCATGTGCAAATCAGACATCTAAGGAGGTCCATCATGCAGGCATTGAGAGCCTTGCTCGGACACCAACTGCGAATGTGAGAAACGGTTTACGTCTCGAGTCTCATCCTGTAAGCAAACAACTTCAAGCCATACAACGCATCAACCAAGGAAACATGTTCTCCCATGTCTCTCTGACAACTACTACACATTTTTCACATATGTCATACACTTGTCATCATAATTCATCATATGTCCATGTACTGACCATTCCCATTTGCAAATCAGACATCTAAGGAGGTCCATCATGCAGGCATTGAGAGCCTTGCTCGGACACCAACTGCGAATGTGAGAAACGGTTTACGTCTCGAGTCTCATCCTGTAAGCAAACCACTTCAAGCAATACAACGCATCATCCAAGCAAACATGTTCTCCCATGTCTCTCTGGCAACTACTACACTTTTATCACAAGTGTCATACATTTGTCATCATATGTCCATGTACTGATCATTCCCATTTGCAAATCAGACATCTAAGGAGGTCCATCATGCAGGCATTGAGAGCCTTGCTCGGACACCAACTGCGAATGTGAGAAACGGTTTACGTCTCGAGTCTCATCCTGTAAGCAAACCACTTCAAGCCATAGAACGCATCAACCAAGCAAACATGTTCTCCCATGTCTCTCTGCCAGCTACTACACTTTTATCACATTTGTCATACATGTGTCATCATATGTCCATGTACTGACTACTCCCATTTGCAAATCAGACATCTAAGGAGGTCCATCATGCAGGCATTGAGAGCGTTGCTCGGACACCAACTGCGAATGTGAGAAACGATTTACGTCTCGAGTCTCATCCTGTAAGCAAACCACTTCAAGCCATACAACGCATCAACCAGGCAAACATGTTCTCCTATGTCTCTCTGACAACTACTACACATTTATCACATGTGTCATACATTTGTCATCATATGTCCATGTACTGACCACTCCCATTTGCAAATCAGACATCTAAGGAGGTCCATCATGCAGGCATTGAGAGCCTTGCTCGGACACCAACTGCGAATGTGAGAAACGGTTTACGTCTCGAGTCTCATCCTGTAAGCAAACCACTTCAAGCCATACAACGCATCAACCAAGCAAACATGTTCTCCCATGTCTCTCTGCCAACTACTACACTTTTATCACATTTGTCATACATTTGTCATCATATGTCCAAGTACTGACCACTCCCATTTGCAAATCAGACATCTAAGGAGGTCCATCATGCAGGCATTGAGAGCCTGGCTCGGACACCAACTGCGAATGTGAGAAACGGTTTACGTCTCGAGTCTCATCCTGTAAGCAAACGACTTCAAGCCATACGACGCATCAACCAAGCAAACATGTTCTCCCATGTCTCTCTGGCAACTACTATACACATTTATCACATGTGTCATACAATTGTCATTATATGTCCATGTACTGACCACTCCCATTTGCAAATCAGACATCTAAGGAGGTCCATCATGCAGGCATTGAGAGCCTTGCTCGGACACCAACTGCGAATGTGAGAAACGGTTTACGTCTCGAGTCTCATCCTGTAAGCAAACCACTTCAAGCCATACAACGCATCAACCAAGCAAACATGTTCTCCCATGTCTCTCTGCCAGCTACTACACTTTTATCACATTTGTCATACATTTGTCATCACATGTCCATGGACTGACCATTCCCATGTGCAAATCAGACATCTAAGGAGGTCCATCATGCAGGCATTGAGAGCCTTGCTCGGACACCAACTGCGAATGTGAGAAACGGTTTACGTCTCGAGTCTCATCCTGTAAGCAAACCACTTCAAGCCGTACAACGCATCAACCAAGCAAACATGTTCTCCCATGTCTCTCTGCCAGCTACTACACATTTATGACAGGTGTCATACATTTGTCATCACATGTCCATGTACTGACCATTCCCATGTGCAAATCAGACATCTAAGGAGGTCCATCATGCAGGCATTGAGAGCCTTGCTCGGACACCAACTGCGAATGTGAGAAACGGTTTACGTCTCGAGTCTCATCCTGCAAGCAAACCACTTCAAGCCATACGACGCATCAACCAAGCAAACATGTTCTCCCATGTCTCTCTGGCAACTTCTATATATACACATTTATCACATTTGTCATACATTTGTCATCATATGTCCATGTACTGACCACTCCCATTTGCAAATCAGACATCTAAGGAGGTCCATCATGCAGGCATTGAGAGCCTTGCTGGGACACCAACTGCGAATGTGAGAAACGGTTTACGTCTCGAGTCTCATCCTGTAAGCAAACCACTTCAAGTCATACAACGCATCAACCAAGCAAACATGTTCTCCCATGTCTCTCTGCCAGCTACTACACATGTATCACATTTGTCATACATTTGTCATCACATGTCCATGGACTGACCATTCCCATGTGCAAATCAGACATCTAAGGAGGTCCATCATGTTTCCAGTTTGGTGCCCGCCTAAGTTGCTGCCGAGAGGTGTCACCTGAGAGCTGTCGCCCCAAGTCATCAGCATATGCAGCATATGTTGATGCGTGGAACATGAAGATCATCCCCAAAATTGGGTTTACTATGGTGGGTTTACTATGAAGGTCATCATTGGTTTTTCATATGTTTTTTTTGTTTACCACATCTGAGTGGTTTTCATACTGGTGCTAAACCTAGGGAATTCTTGGGAATGGGCCGAATTGTTAATAGCTATGGATTGGATACCCCCAAACGTTGAGCACCAGGGAAGTTGAACTCAACCAATGGATTGGTTGGAAAAATTTCAACCGGAAAGCCCGATCTGAATGGGAAAATCGATGGTTTCCGGCTTCGATTTTCCCGTGAAAACCAGCTGGAGATGTTTCGCCAATCCGCCCAACTCAATCCAGGGGAAAAATCGATCAAAAGTTGAAAATCCAGGGATACTCCAACAAAAACATGTCTTTTATCATTGACCCGGTGCTACCAGTCATGTCTAGATGATGTTGCTTTGTCTGAAAATAGGCTACCCCAAAATTTGATGGTTTATCATCATTTTGCCAATTCAAACAGCCATTTGGTGGTATCGTCCAAGTTTACCGTTCGGAAATGATCTACATTCATTATTATTTTACTGGAGGGTGACCACCAGAAATTCAATCGGAGGACTTAGCATCACACTTGTTGACGAACCATAGTGGGTTCTCAGCAATAAAACATGGGGATTCTTTAACAAAAGTAGAGGTATCATCAGCAAACAACCAGTAGATGGAGATACAACCAACCATAGAAATCCACATAACAAGTCCCTATTGACCCATTTTGCTTCCGCGCAAGCCGTGTATGTATACCCTGTGGCAGGGCCAGAGCTGGTACAACCAGAGCAAAGAGCTGGCAGCTGGTTTGTATATCATGCATATTACATCATATATATATAATTATATATATACACTAATTCTATTGTATATATATATGTGTATTGTACATATTTGCATTATGTCTATCTTGGATATCTTTGTTATCCGTTCATCTGAGTACAGTAGATCACAATATGAAACCACCAGCAGATTCGCATCTTCGCGCATCTCTACCTGGGAGCAGCAAAACAGATCTGTTGGGTTCGGAAAATGAAGCCCATTGAACAAAGGATTTGACTGGCGAAAATGGAACGTTTACCGATTTGCAGCTAACCAGTGACCAACAGACAAGGCAGTCTTTTAGAAAATCTTGGCCTAAAACAAAATGTAACAAAATCTAGCACAGCTTTTCAAACTGGCGTCTTTAGTCTTTTCTTTCGACCCCGTCAGTACATCTCTTATGCATAGGGCAACTTGGAAGTGCGTTGGTGCCTTGCGTCCCTTAAATCTACAACATGGAACCGCTGGGGGAAGCTTTGGTGATGTCCTTCGATTTTTTTGCTGGCAAAAGTCATCAAAAATCATCAAAAATCATCAAAAATCATCAAAAATCCCTATATTTCCTATGCCCCCGTTCTTATACCCGTTTTGGTGGTCCGATGTTTCTTGCTTTCAACGCCAATGTTGTTGGTGTTTTAAGGCTTTGTCTCCATGTTTGTGACTCAATCCCCTATCTTTCGCTGCTTTTTATCTGATGAAACCATTATCTTTTGTCAGTTTCACCCACATGTTCGCTACGTCAACCCTCCGGCTCTCGCCGGCTTCAAAACATCCGAATACCCTCTGGTAAATTAACATAGCTATGGAAAATCACCATTTTTAATGGGTAAATCCACTATAAATGGCCTTTTCTATCTTTGCCGGAATTGCCTGGCCTGAAACCTCCCAATTTGGGGTGATTTTTTGCCCCAGAAACTCTGGCGAAATTTCTCGCCGCTGGGACCCCCGCCTCAGAGTTTGGCGGGCTCCGCCTCCGCGGTCAAGAGTTCTAGGCAGCCGCAGCGCTGCAAGATCGCCTATGGAAACCCCCCTGGGTGGAGAACAGTTGGGGGCCCTTTTTTGGACCACTTGGGGCAGGTCGTGGATGTACAGTAACTGACCAAGTCATTGGAGATTTCACCTGCAAAACTGGATGAAACCGGGATTGAATCGGCTCAAATTGGAATTTGAGAAGTAAAACGTGGGGATTGAATCCAAGGTAAATTGTGATTTAAGCAGCAAACTGTTGGATATAACCATCAGAAATATTCGATGTTAACCAACAAAAATGAGAGTTATAAGTAATAAGTAATATTATATATATATATAATAAGAGCTCGACATCCAAATTATAGTTATTTTCATAGGGAAACCAGGAATTTCCAAGCTAAACGGTACCGGAAATTGGAGTGCCTAAGCTCAATGGATTGATCTCAGTGAAATCATTTGGTGAATGGAGCGGGTACCCTGATTTTCACAGAATCTTTGGAACTTCTGAATCTTCATCAATTTGACACCTCAGGTTTAAGCCAAGGTGTCGTTCTTTAAACATGTAAAAAAAATCGAGGTTTATTGTTACTTCAACCTCAACTGTTGTTAGTTAAACCCCAGTTTCTGCTGTGTCATCTCCAATTTCTGTTGCTCAAACCCCAATTTCTTCCAGTTCAATCACCAATTCTCATCAGTTAAGGGAGCTATTTTGTTGCCATAAATGTCACCTTTTCCGGGCGCACCTCAAGTTCTTGACGCTCCGCTCCTGACGGCACGGCGGCGAACTTGCGGCGCAGCTCCTGCAGTCACAGGATGGGTTGATTAGTTGTGGTTGGTATTAATCAACTAGTAATCAACTAGTAATCAACTAGTGGTTGACACCGGATTAATAAACCATGGTTTATTAATTAGGGGGTACCCTCCAAATAGTCACAATATGGTACATAAATGGTACCCTCCCAATTAAACAGCCTAGGGGTTTATTAATCCAGGGTTGACATTAATCACAGTAATGCAATGATCAACTAGTAATCAACTAGCAGTAATCCGTGGATGGACTTGACATTACAAATTGACTATTACTACTATTGATATTATCATAAACTAGTAGCTTAAACTATCTATTCACCTGATTGGTAATTGAATAGTGCGATGATGACTACTGTTCTCACTATAATGAGTTTGTCATTGTGAGTTGTTCTTAGTCTAATTGTGTAGATTTAAAATTAATATCATCATGATGATGATGATGATGATGATGATATGGAATAGGTGTTCTTAGGTCCGAACACTTGGGGTGAAATAACAATATGCGGGAAGCCAACCCAGAAAATTTGATGAAATGGGGGATTCAACCACCAAAATACGGATGTGGTTTGGATATAATCTGTATATATATATATATGTATATATATATACATACATGTATGTAACATAATTTCGCAAATGATCTAATTTACCTATATACCTGAAATCAACATTCAGTTTCTTAGTCATCTATAGTAAAACCCCAGATTTTTCAGGTAACTTATGAGGGATCCCCAAATCCTAACCTGGTGAGCAATGATCCATGATGAATTCCCCATGGGATAATAACATGGTATCTGGGATGAAAGCATCCCGTAAGCACTGCTTTTGGACCATAAAGGCCACAAAAAAAATAGATCGGTGATCATATATGGATTAGCATGTGTATATATATATATGTACATGAATATATATATATATATGTATATATATGTAGATGAATATATACATATATATATACACAATATATATATATGTGAATGTATATATATATATATATGTGAATACATATATATATACATATAATTATAACTATATTTACATATACTTACATACATGTCAGAGATTTACATATATTTACTGTTGTTATGTATGTCACCACTTGATGCTTCCAGCAACCCGTTGTTTTCCGCCTTCAGCGACTTGGCGTGGTATCTCTGGGGCCCTCCTACCTGGGGGCATCTGGGGACTCAAAAAACACAGCGGTCGGTCCGGTGAATGTGTTCCCAGATTACCACAGATTACCATTTTTAATGGGAAAATCACCATGTTTAATGGGAAAATCACCATGTTTAATGGGAAAACTCACTATTTCTATGGCCATTTTCAATAGCTATCTAACAAATTACCAGAGGGTATATCCCATTAAATCCCATTAAATCCCATTAAACCACCATTTTCCTATGGTTTTCCTATGGTTTTCCTATGGTATCAGATTGACAATTGGATGAAATCTCACGCCAGGACGGAGCCAGGGGTCCCAGGGGTCAAGACACCGACTGAGACCACATCTGTCCACCGAGATCTACCACGAAGTCCTGGAGCGCGCGCAAGCGTTGAACATGGAGCACAAGTTAGGCTGCTGATGGTGCTGTTGAAACTTGGGTATCTAGTAGGCAAAACAGCAACAAAAACAACGGTATAATATGGTATAATATGGTACAAAAAAAACGGTATAATATGGTATAATATAATCACCCACAATATTGATCAATATTTTTCGGATATGTGTGATGCAGCCAACCGAAAATTGCGGTTTACCAGCGCAATGTTGATGTCATCAACCTAACATCCAAAGAAAAAAACGTGGGGCTGAAGTCCACCAGTTCATTGCCTTTTTCAGGATGAAATCCCATCACACCACCCAAGTTTGATCTTTCCATGCTGTCCTTCTGACCAGACTGCAGTGCCTTCGCATTGGCATCTGACCATCCTCAGATTGCCACAGTCACCAGGTGGTGACAAAGGCTCAATGAGGTTTCAGATGGAAGTTGGGTCAAAAACGAGAACGTGGAACCGTGATGCTGAACTCATCACCACATTCCAAATGATCAACTGCTCAATTTTGGTCATCCCTCTTCGAACAAACAAATACGTTGCTCATATCCCCACGTTTGCTGCTCAAAATCAAGTGCTGCATCTTGTATCTCCAATTCTTAGGCAAACAGTAAATCCAACACTCTGCAAAGAAGTTGGCAAAAACGTCCCAACTCCGCCAAAGGTTGCAAGAAATCGGAAAACAAAAATATCGGCCAATTGGCCCAAAACCAAAACGATGATGGTTAGGGGAGATCATCATTGAAATCATCCCGGCCCAAAAAACTGAAGGAAACCTCGGTTTGTTGGACCCACACGGACGAGCATCGCAAGAACAGCTTCACTTGCGATGCGATGAGCGGTTCCAGGGTTGGTGCCTGGGAACACCAAGAGGAGTCTAACAAAATGATGGGACTTTGGGGGTGATCAAACATCAGCGGTCAATAGAAATAACAATGATATATAATGATGAGAATAATGATAAGAATAATGATGAGAATGATCGTGATGGTGATAAATATAAAAATGATAGTAATGATAAGGATTGGGACATTGTCGAAATAATGATACATCGATAATATCGTTGGGGATCAACAATCAATAATCATTGGAATCAGTAGGGGGTTCCCAAAGATATAGAATGATATAGAATAGGGTTGACAGAAAGTCATCGATTATGTTTTCCCAATAATTTTCAGATGTTCAATGTGTCTATCTATTCGCGGGGGTGCTGTACAATAGGTAATTAATTGAGGGAAATGATCCACAGTAGGTAATCCCATGCTAAACAATTCATTAATACTTAATCAATCATAGGCTATGTACTGGGATCAAAAAGAGTTCAATCCTATGTTGAGATAAAATGGGATAATAGTTTGCAATAGAATGATAAATGTTATTTTAAAGTCTAAATGGGTCCAGAAGCATTATATGGGGACATAGTGGGAATAAAAATTGCAAGAAATGATTTGGTGTGTGCAAAAGTGGGGGGATTTCCCAATCTTCGACAGTTTTCTTGGCAAAACTAAGAGGGAAAAATTTTCCGAACAAACAATCAAATGTGCGGGTACCTACAGTATGTTCAGACAGAGGATTTATATCTCCATGTTGTGTTGGTTATGTTGGTTCAAAAAATATCCCGTGATATTCCCATGAAATTGACCCATGAAAAACTTACTCAAAGTGGCCATCTGGAATTCACTTCCGCACCTGACCGGAGACTGCGAGGCTCTTACTCAACCGGAAGCCATTTTTGCCGAACCCTAAATTTTGTTGGGTATAATTTTCATGAGTTTATATGAGTTTATGATGGGTACTTACTAAAACTTACTAAAACTATGATGGTTAGAATTTAGTTTTGACATATTGATGGGGTGGGATCTTATATGATTTGTGGGTGTCCCATTTTCCGACGCGCCCATA